CTTGAGCTCAGGGTCATGAGTTCAAGCCCCATGTTGGGCTCTGTGCTGGGCATGGAGCCTACTTTACAAAAAAAAGATGTAATTTGTATCATAACAACTTAAAAGGTGGGAGAAATGAAGATACACAAGGGCAAAGTTTTTGTAGAATAGTGAAATTAAGTTGGTATTAATCCAAACTAGATTGGATTACCATTAATAGTAATCTTCAGGTAATGGTAATCTTCAGGAAACCACTAAGAAAATGACTAAAATATATATACAGTGAAGGAAATGACAAAGGAATTAAAACGGCACACTAGAAAACATATATTAACACAAAACAAGGCAATGATGGGGGGAATTGAGGAACTAAATAGACATAAAACATAATTTGTTTTCTACATGATCAGTGATCACATTAAATGTAAATGGACTAAACTCTCTAAAATCCAGAGATTGACAGAATGGATAAAACAATATGATCCAACTGCATGCTGTCTACAAGAGTTTCATTTCATTTTATTTATTTTTTAATGCTTATTTATTTTTGAGAGAGAGAGACAGAGATGAAGTGTGAGTAGGGGAGGGGCAGAAAGAGAGGGAGACACAGAATCCAAGGCAGGTTCCAGACTCTGAGCTGTCAGCACAGAACCCAATGTGGGGCTCGAACTCATGAAGTGTGAGATCATGACCTGAGCCAAAGTCAGACGCTTAACTGACGGAGCCACCCAGGCACCCCTACAAGAGTTTCATTTTAGATTCAAAGACACAAATAGGTTGAAAGTAGAAGAATGGAAAAGGTCTTGCCATGCAAAGAGTAACCAAAAGACAGCTGAGGTGACTATGCAAATTTGAGACAAAATAGACTTTAAGACAAAAAAAAATTGTTACTAGAGACAAAGAAAGACATTTTTTGATGAGAAAAGGGTCAGTCCACCAAGAAGATATAACAATTGTAAGCATACACACACTTAACAACACAGCCCCAAAATACATGAAGAAAAAGAGGACAGAATTGAAGGGGAAAATGGACAACTCAAGAATAATAGTTGGAAGGGCACCTGGATGGCTCAGTCAGTTGAGCATCCGACTCTTGATCTCAGCTCAGGTCTTGATCTCCGGGTGGTGAGTTCAAGCCCTGTGTTGGGTTCTGCTGGGTGTGAAGCCTACTTAAAAAAAGAAGAAGAAGGAAAAGAAGGAGAAGGACAAGAAGGAAGAGGAGGAGAGGAAGAAGGAGGAGGAGAAGAGGAAGAGGAGGAGGAGGAGAGTTGGAGATTCCAATACCCCACTTTCAATAATGGGTAGAACAACCAGACAGAAAATCATCCAAGAAAGAGAAGTTTGAGCAACACTGTAGACCAACCATATCTAGCAGACATCTATAGAACACTCCCCACAACAACAGCAGAATACACTCGCTTCTCAAGTGCACATGGAACATTCTCCAAGATAGACCATATGGTAGACCATAAAGTAAGTGTCAGTGAACTTAAAAAAGATTGCAACCATGCAAAGTATGCTCTCCAACCACAATGCAATGAAATTAGAAATCAGTAACAGAAGGAAATTTGGGAAATCACTAAACCGACGGAAATGAGATAACACGTTTCTAAATAATAAATAGGTAAAAGAAGAATTAACAAGGGAAATTAGGAAACACTTTGAATGAAAGAGATTGAAAATACAAGTCACAACACTGCAGAGAAAAGACCATCACTTCTTCCATGTTGACTCATACCTAGAACTGCTTCTGCTTGATAATCTCGTCCTCAGGTCTCGATAGGCGTCCTGCCCGCTGATTCACATTTACCTCTTGCTTATTTTATGTCCCTCTGGCTACGCAATGTCTGAGGGATCATGGTTTTATTAGGAGAGCTTTAGAGTTGGTCTTTTGAGCCAGCCTACCAAAATGCAGGAAGAAAAAGAGGACAGGATTGAAGGAAAAAACAAGTTCTCTCTGCCCTCTTCAGGCCTCTCTCCTTGTAGATTAGACATCTTGTACTTCATAGGAGAATGAGACGGATGACCAAGGGACTCTTTGAAGTTGTAAGCCTTTACATTTTTTAACAGGGCTTAACCTCCTAGCCAAGCCTTCCCTTTCTACTGGCTCCTAGGGTAAAGTCAGTAGGTAATTAACAGCTCCCCGCACAATGCCAGGGACCTGGGAATGACTCCAGGTGGAACTGCCACCCTACCAGCCTGGCTAGCAGACCAGGGATCTACCACCAAAGGTCTATTGTCCCCTTTCGGTTTTTTATCCAGTTTCAGAGAAAGAAAAAAAAAAAATACAAATCTATTTATGAATTTAAATCCACAAGTTCCTTTTTAAAAATTAAATGCCATTTTTATAACCAGTGGAATATTACCTTAATAATAGTAAGAGGATTTAGCACACAGTTGACAGGAGAACCACTTGTACACGACACACAATTGTATAGTCAGTATCTCAGGCTAAGGGGCAGCTTGTCAGTCTTTATTCCAGCCCCTATTGATTTGTTTTAAGAATCTGAGGTGAGAGATCGTGATGCATTACTCTGATGTGAAGTAAAACCCATCTGGCTTTTGGCATGTCCCCATTTCCCAGACAGATGGATAATGTGGTTAGCTGGAAGTAACTGCCTTTATAATATTCGTATCTGCTCAAGGATGTCTCAAAGATCAGAGGTCTGAACAAACATGGGTCGTATTTTTCTTGGCAGATGATCTAACCCAGATACAACTTTAGAACAGGGGGGCTCACTATGGTCCCCAGACCAACAGAGTCAGTGTTGAACCGGGGAGCCTGTTCAAAATGGAAACTCTCAGGCCTTGCCCCAGACCTGCTGGATTAGAAACTCTGGGGGTGGGGGACAGCCATCTGCATGTTAACAAGCCCTCTGGGGGGCTACCGACTGACACGCGAAGGTGAAAGCCACTGCTTTAGAAAACTATAACCATATTTCTAAGAAAGCAGAGAAAACATTAATTCTGGAAGATCTTTTAAATGCCTGTTATGTGCTAAGTACTGTTCTTCCAGTTCTCGGGGGGGGGGGGGTGCCTCCAAAGTCTCCAGAGAGCAGGGAGGGAATCTAAATGTGGGAAGCTTGCTGTAGGCTGACTGCTGCCTTGATAGGGCCCGGCAGGCTGCCTGGAGGCCCCAGTCGCCAGTGGCCAGAGAAGAAGGCAGACCAATGGTTGAGGAACACAACTTCCGTCTTCCCCAGGAAGCTTGGGATCCTGGTACGTGAAATCTCTCCTTTTAACTGTTGAACAACTTGGAAGCCAAATGTTAGGATTATTAAAAAATTATTATCTTTAAAAAAAAAGAACGGCTCTATTGAAACGCAATTACATACCCCACAGTTTGCTCTTTTTAAGCATATAATTTGATGACCAGTTGATGAACATTTGCGTTGTTTTCCACTTTTCGGTATTATAAATAATGATGCCATGAACATTTGTGCACAAGGTCTGTGTGCACTGCGTTTTCATTTTTTATGGGCACATACCTCTAAGTGGTATCACGGGGTCATGAGATAACTCAGTGTTTCCATTTTTGAGAAACTGCCAAACTGTTTTCCACAGAGGCTGCCCCATTTTACCTTCCCGGCAGCCGTGTATGAGGGGAATGTCCGGTCCCACATGCTCACCAGCACTAGCTATTGTCTGGCTTTTTAATTTTAGCCATTCCGGTGGGCATGGTGGGATTTGTCACTTTGATTTCCATTTCTCTCATGACTAACGATGTTAAGCATTTTTTCAAGTTATTATTTGTCCGTTTTTAAATCATGTTGTTGTCTTTTTTATTATGGAGTTGGACGGGTTCTTTATGTTGTTTGAAGTAAGTCTCTTATCGGGGATATGATTCGAAACTATTTTCTCCCGTGCCGTGGGTTGTCTTCTCTTAATTGTGTCCTTTGTGGCATAAAAGCTTTTAACTTTGATATAGTCCAACGTATCTAATTTTTTCTTTTGTCACTTGTGCTTTGGGTATTGTGTCTAAGAAACCACTGCCTAACTCAAGGTCCTAAGGGTCTGCTCCTGTACTTTCTTCTAAGAGTTTCATAATTTTAAATCTTTATCTTTAAAGTATTCTTGTTAACCCTTCAGACTACTCAAAACACATCTCTGTGTGGATCTACCTTACAGTTGTGGAGTAAACAACTGTCAAGATTTGTCTGGGACTCAGGGCTTCCCAGGACCTGGAATTTCCAGTGCTAAAACTCAGGGTCCTGGGTAAACCAGGATGAGTTGGACACCCTACCAGGGCGCCTCCAACTTGCCACCTCTAATAGAAACCATTTCCCTGGCTTTCCGTGGCTTACAATAGATACTGAATCCCTACTCACCTGAATGAAAGATCAGTTTGTTTTCAGCTTAAGGAGCATTTATTGAGTGCACACAATGTAAAACCCTGGGGTTGAGTTTAGTGAGGGATATTCAATTCCAATTTCAGTGCCCATAAATAAAGTTTTATTGTTCTAGGCCCTTGGGGTGCATCAGCAAACCTTTATGGAGCTTAAGTTCTAAATAGGGCAGCTATTCTAGCAGGAGGGGAATGGTGAAACAGAGAGGGAGGATTTTTGAAGGCAGGGATTTGGTTTTATTAATCTTTGATTCCCCGGTGTCAGGGCTATAGAAATCAATAATGCTTGCCGAATGAATGAAGTGTGTGATCTTTGGCCTTCTCATATTTAACTTTTTTTTTTTTCTTGATTCATTTCACTGGACCTGGCAGCCCCTGATGACAGTGACATGCCTAACTTGTCGTCTCGCATATGCCCCAGTGCCTATTACAATGCCTGGCATGCAGTAGGTGCTCAATAAGCAGTACCCTAACTCATGCGTACTGTCTTTACATGTTTCATTCCCTTCATGTGCTATACCAGCCTGGGTTTCAAGAATATCGAACTGAAAACAACACAAACGAATCCCTACAAATAAACATTTAGAGAGGCGGTGTCAGCCGAAGAGCGCTCATTGGTACCTCGACAGCCATTTCACAGGCTGGTGTGCCCTATAGGCACCCAGTAAAACATCACCAACCACGGAGAGCCTGTAAATTCCTCTAACCAGAAGGGCTCTCCCCGCCCCCTCTCCCCGCGCTGCCTGCTCTGCCCTCCGCCTCCTCCTCTCCGCCCACTCTCCTGGCGGCGGCGGCTTTGTCTCGTGGGCTGGTCCCCGGCGGCTCCCTCCCCCGAACAGCTGCCGCCGAGGGAGGAAGCGGCGCGGGAGCTGTCCAGCACCCCGGTGCTGAAACCCCGACCGCGAGCCATCCACCAACACCATGTAAGGGCCATGAAAAGGGCTCGTCCTGGCGCAGCGCGGACATGGAGGAGGACTTATTCCAGCTAAGGCAGCTGCCGTGAGTATCATGGGGGCGAGTGCGAGGCAGACAGGCTTTCCTTTAAAAAACGAAAACCTGCAAGGGGGCATCTCTGCATGGCTTCTTGAATTGAAAAGGAACTGTTTGAGAGGAAAGAATTAGGCCCGGAGGAGACAAGCCATTTTCCTACTCCAGGAGCCCAGCCTCTGTATCTCTGATTCAGTTCTATTTTTCAGATCCGTCAGAGTCTTATGGGGAACAAGGGGTGTTATGTTTTCCCTTTTAATTGCTCGCGGTCCTAAAGGGATTTTTGAGGTCTGTGTTTTAAGAAAGCGTTAGCTGCTGTTTTGAAATGTGGACTGAATTGATGAGTCCATATGCGATGACATCGGTTTTTCCCAGCCCTTCTCCAAGGCTGTGAAATCCCTAATTTTTCTGCAAGGTCTTTGGGAAGGGAATGATACCGATGTTGCAAAGTGGTGTCTAAAAAGCCGGAATACCTTCCTAGAGGGGAGGCTTGGGCAAAGTCTTGTTGTTTATGAAGTGTGTGAATGAGAGGGCTGTGCACGGTCGCTGAAACCTCTTGCCTTCTTCTGAATGAAAAGGTTTTTGTAACAGCCAGCTAGAGTGGGACTCACTGTCGACGGCTATCCTCAAGAACATCAGGAATACAAAGCCAGAGGATGGGAATTTGTAAGGAATGTCAAATTTGCTCTGAGAATCTTGGGGGAATAAAACCAAGCAATGGAAAGGACAGGGGCCTTGTAGAGGGGGCTTACAGATTTCTCCTACTACAAGCCGATGGTGATCTGTTAAGCAAATCCCAAGACTATGAGATGGGGCATTAACAGGGATTTCTGTTTTAATTTTTAGAAGCACCAGCTATTTGGATGATACAAGCAGACATTGTTTGGATTTGTTGGAAAGGATACATCATTGTTAGTATACGTGTGTTTTCTTGACTTAAAAAATTTTTTTCCTCTCTAAGCCACCGAGAAATTCTCCCAAGTGACTTTTAGTGTGACTGATACAGCTCTCTGAGGCTCTGAAACCTGAAGGGTATTGTAATGTTTACTTCTCAATCAGTGTAAAATTAATTTTCATTTTAAAATTTTAATTATTCTTTTACGTTTTTATTAATTGATCCACAAACAAGGTATCTTATGTAATGTAGGGTTATTTCACAAATGCTAAAGGATGCTCAGTGTTAGAATTTCCAGAGGTCAATGTATGAATACGTACAAATATTCATATCTGAGTGTAAATCTCTTAAGGGAAACATACCACTTTCGTTGAAAATAAATATGTCCAAAGCCAACCTATTATCTCAGAATAAAAAGTAATTCAGAAACTGAAATATGAAATCTAGTACCTAGAATAGGAATACAATATATATCGGATCTGCAGTTTACTGAGATAAATTTTCAAAAAATGTCAGAGCATGTGAACTTTGCAGATTACTCAGATACTCAGGTATAGACATGACACTATTGTGACAATTCTTTCAATTCAAAAAAAAAGGCAAAAATAATCAGAGGGTTTTATTTATTTAAAATTTAAAATTAATTTAGTTTTTTTATACTAATGTACAATATAAGGCACTAATAGAATCTGTACGGAGGATAAATAAAGTTCAAAAAGAAGCTCAAGAATAAAAAGTAAGTCTCTCTCTTCCCAAACTGCAGGTTAAGTTTCTTGATTGTTCTCCCTGATATTTTAACAGATAAATACATGTACTATCCATTAGAGAGGCCAAATTGTATACTAAGATCGCTGGCTCTTGAGTGAGACAGACTTGAGTTCAAATCCTGACTTTGCCACTTTCTGCTTATTTGACTCTGAGCAAGTGACTTAACCTTTCTGAGATTGAATTTCCCCAGCCATAAAATGGGGCTCATAATAGTACTTGATTCACAGAGTTGCTGTAATGATCCAGTGACATGACGTGTGCTGAATGCCTGGCAAACACAAAGCATTTGACGTATACTAACTAATATTATTATATCTAAAAAAATCATTTATAAAAATATATAGAGGCTCCCTATGCTGAAAGCTTAAAATTGTAATCTGCAATTTGAATGAAGTCAAAATTAGCCCTGAAATGTGTTGACCACTATTTATAAAAAAAAGAAGTGAAGCAAAAGGAACAGCCACGTGAATCTGAGTGGGTTACAAATCACGACTTAGATGTTTTTTAAACCACACCCTGTGTATATTGTGCACAGATTGCAGGCAACAGATTTCCTGAGAGCAATATGGTTTAAAGAAAAAATCAGAATGCCTTGTAGAGGGTTGGCAAGAGTGAACTTTGGAACAGGCTCAGTCTCATGGGAAGCCAAGTGTTAATAGATTATAAGCCACTAAGTAGTTTACAGGGTTTGGGGAGGGGGAAAGGGGATAAGGATGCCTAAGAAAACAGTCCCGCCTTGCAGTTGGAAGCTCCTTCACACAGCTCTAGGATGGTTCATTTCAGGCTCCAAACAACCTCTGCTTTTCCCCTGCTGTCCATTCAGGCGCAGCACCGTGTACAGGAGATTCAGGAGGCTGAGATTTTATATCCAGTTCTGCGTTATTGCGTGTCCTTGTGCGAGACTTTTCTGGGGCTCTCCTTTCTAGGATGATTTCTTGAAAGCAACTTTTGCAGACTACATTGGTTGATTGGGTGATGATCGATTCACTCATTTCATTCATTTGGGCACCACCCTAGGTACAAGGGATTCTACGACTGAATAAGCTAGACATGGTCCTTGCCATCAAGGAGGTGACAATCTAAAGCTGCAATGTCCGATATGGTAGTCACTAACCATATGTGGCTATTTACATTTAAACTTAAATTATGCAATTTGTACATAAAATCATTTCTATAGTATAGTATAGTATATAGCATAAAATATAATTTGTAAATAAAATACGCGAAATTTGAAAAAGTCAGTGTCTCGGTTGCACCGATGACATTTCAACTGCTCAGTAGCTACATGTGGGGTCCCCTGGGTGGCTTAGTCAGTTAAGCATCTGACTCTCGATTTCAGCTCAGGTCATGATCTCACCGACTGCGTCCCTGTGTTGTCAAGCTGCATGATCAACAGCACAGAGCCTGCTTGGGATTCTCTCTCTCTCTCTCTTTCTGCCTCCCCCCACCTCAAAATAAATAAATTAAAAAAAAAATAGCTACATCTGGCTAGTAGCTACCAAACTGGACAACACTGGTCTAGTGCTAGGAGAGGCAGACCTTGAACACATCTTGCACAGTAATTATGAGAATTGTCTTTTTTTCTAATTTTTTAATGTTGATTTTATTTTTGAGAGACAGAGAGCGTGAGCAAGGGAGGGGCAGAGAGAGAGGGAGACACAGAATCGAAAGCAGGCTCCAGGCTCTGAGCTGTCAGCACAAACACGGGGCTTGAACTCACAAACCACGAGTTTGTGACCTGAGTCGAAGTCTGGCGCTTAATTGACTGAGCCACCCGGGCGCTCCCAATTATGAGAATTGTCTTCAGGACAAGTGCAGGGTGCGATGAGACTAGTTCTAGATGGGGGAGAGGCAGGACCAGTGAAAGATTCCTTGAGAATGTGACGTTGCAATTGAGCCCCCAGGGATCATCTAAGGAGGAGAGTGGGTATTTTGGACAAAGGGAACTGTGGAAGCAAAAGCTCCAGAGTGGAAAAAAGTGTCGTGTCTCAAAATCAAGCCAGTGGGGGGAACATAATAAACTAGCGGCTTGAGGGAGACTGCAGAGGATGGCAAGGACCGGGCCATAAGGGGCCCTGTAGTGTGTGACAACGAGTTGGAACTTCAGACTGTGTCCGCCCAGTTCACTTTCTTCCCTCTCTCCTTTCTTACCAACTTTGTCTTCAAGATTAAACTCAAGTGCATTACCTCAATGAATCTTCCACGGACTTCTCCTGAGCTTCAGCAACAGCAGGGGTAAAAGTGTGGGCTGTGAGGTGGGCAGATGTGGGTTCAAACACCTGGGTGGCCTCGGGCCAGTGACTTCATCTCCCAAACACTGGGTGTTCCTCCATCAAGTCAGGATAATGGCCGTATCTGCAGGGCAAGGCTGTTGTGAGTGAGAATCAGAACAGTCATCTCTGGGAAGCTCTTAGCTCAGTGCCTGGCTCCGAGTTAGGGCTCAGCGAATGGGGCTGGCGTTATCGGTCTTCCTTCACTCTAGATTTGTTTCCCTTATCCTCCAACATCACCTGGAAGCCATGGTCTCCTTTCTCAGAACACCAAGAAAATGCTCCCCAAAGGGGGAGATTCCTGGCCAAGGAGGAGGGACGGGAGTTCATTATCTACTCACTTCAGGCAAAAAGCAGAGAGTTGTTTTAATAGCCTAGGGATCCTCAAGGTCAACCCACCGAAACCTTTTAAAACCTCAAGTTCAAAGCTGCTCACACCCCATCATTTCAAACACATGCCAGCCGACCTTACCTCTAGGGGATATGTGTTTTAGTGACTTAAAGGGGAACAATCTGGAGGCCAAAGAAAGAATGTCCCCTTGCAAAGGGGACTGTGCAAAATGTCCCCTTGCAAAAAGGCCATTGCTTGGGTGATCTTAGGTTTTAGGGAGGATTGTCGCAGGGTCTGCTGGCCCGGCGAGTGGTACTACAGCCCCTGTGAATCTCTTCTCCGTCTGTCTTAAAGAATTATGCAGATCTGACTGTGAATCACTGTGTGATCTTAGGCAGCGTATTTAGTTTCCTGAGACCTAAGGGGTTCCCCGGGCCACCTTGAGAGGCATTCTCAGCTTTAAGATTCTAAGCTCCCTAGTTGGGTGCCTGGTACCATCCTGGCTTATGGAAATTATTCTGTGATGATTATTAATTATATCTCTCACTCTGTAGTATGCGGTTTCTCAACTTTGACATTATTCACATTTCAGACCAGATGGTACCTTGGGGGGGGGGGGGCGTGGCTATGCATTATAGGATGTTTAGCAGCATCCCTGGCCTCTACCCACTAGATGTCACAACCTGTCCCCTCAAGTTGTGACAATCAAAAATGGCTCCAGACATTGCCAATGTCCCCTAAGAGACTAAATTGTGCCCCAATGAGAACCACTGCTCTAAAGTGTTTTAGTTTAGGTAATACATTATTCAGTGTCTCTATTCCTACAGCATCTTTGGGTCTCTCTTCCAACCTCATTTTCTCTGACCTTAGTCCTGTCAGGACCCTAGTACGTATTCTTTATGCACCTTCTTCCACCCTCAGTATACTGTTGGTAAAAAAAACTAAGAGGTCCATAAGGACAAGAGCTCAGTCTGACACACAGAAGGTCCTTACAGCATACTTGCTGAGTGAACGCATGAGTCAGTTACAAAGACAAACTACTTGGAAAGGTGTAGCACAGCTCTCTGCTCCCTGTCGCCCCTCCACTGAGGCCATGGCACAGAATGAGCAAGTGTGGGGGCTCTCTACTCAAGCAGACCTGGATTCAAATCCTGACTTTCCTGCTAAACTGGAAGGCCATCTTTTCTTCTCCAGGCCCCAGTTTCAAGCGCTTAGTAGAGCTACCTGCACAGAGTAACGGCTAAATAAATGTTAACTGTTATTTATTTGTGATCGTTGCCTTTTGTCCAGAATATAAGCTAGTGGTCCACTACCCAGGGAACAAAGTCAATGCTATTCAGGTCGATGGAGGTGGTAGGAAAATACAGAGAACTAAAATCCACGGAGAACTAAGCTTTCTTCTAATTATGGACATCTAGAGATTCTGGAATGGAAGGGATCTTAAAGGCCATTGCATCCAACCCGTCCTACCTTATTCGCCCCAACCCAGGGCAGGAGGGCATCAAGCGGGGGCTTTCAAACATCTGTGGCCACCCTCGGTGGGTTATTAAAATTCAGATCCCTGGGCTCTACCCTGCAGAGATGCACAAGCCTTAAATCAGGAGAATGGCCCAGGAATTGGCATTCTAATCAGCTCCCTAGGGGTGTTCTTGGCCGCAGAGAAGCATCGGCTAATTGGTTAAGACTGTGGGCTGTGGAACTTCTCCGGCCAGGGACTGTAGTACACTCTATTCTCTCTAGGGATCCTGAGCCAATTGATGTGATGTCCCCGAGCTTCTATTTACTTGTCTATAAACTGGGCATATTAATAACACCTCCTTCCCAGGGTTGTTGAAGAGGTTATAGAAGATTGTAAGTATATACAGCATTTAGGTGTGCTGAAATGCTGCGTGTTAAATATCATTACCCTTAGGTCCACTCTTGGATACCCGCCCACCTCTCCTAGACCATCTCTCCTAAAGGAGAGGCCCACTGCCTTCGAAAGCAGCCTTTTTTGTCTCTGGACTTCTTGGCCTAAGAAGGCTCCCCATGCTGTGCTGAAATCTGCTTCCCTCTCCTCTATCCCCAGAAGCTCAAGCTCTGGTCTCAGGGTCCGAGTTGAACAAGTGCCATCTTTCACGTGCCTAAATCTGAAATATTTGAAGACAGAGGTCCAGCTCCTGAGGAGACGCTTCCCGAATCGCACGGCTCAGGGAGTGCCCAGGTCTTATCTCGAAGGGAAACGAAAAGCGAGTCCATTTTTAAATAACCTCGGCAATCTCCATTGCACTGGGCCCACGGGATCGAATCCCATTGGCCAATAGGTCTCAAATTCCTAAGAAGCCCCAACGCCACGCCGATGAGCACGTGGGACAAAACCGAGGGATGCTGGTCCTCAGCGCTGCCAACTGAGTTCCCCAAAGAAGTGGGTGGGCATTTGTTATGCCTTGTAGACGGGTCTCTCAGGGAAGGGGACTTCCTCTACTCATCGGTGGGGGGTGGGTAGGGAGGACAAATAGCAAAAGCCTCACCCCCACCCCCTTCCCCGGTTTAGTCCCCCTAATCCAAGCCACCATCACCTCTCACACAGCCAACTGGACAGCCACCTCCCTGGTCTCCCTGCTTCCTTCCTTGCCATCTTTCTGTGTTAAACATGCCTCTTATTTTCTAGTCTAGTGTTTTGGCATCTTGGGGCCTTGCTGATCCTGGAGGGGTTGTCCCTTCCGGAATGAACTAGTCATGATTCATCTGCCAGTGCACTTTTCGTACACAAGGTAACCAACCCAGAGCCACCATCCACCTGTCCTGACCACCCCAAGGCCAAGTACCAGGCAGCCCCTGTGCCCCAGAACCTGCTGAGATTATCCACACTGAAATTACTCAAACCTCAGCCCGCTTACCCGGCCTCGCCTACGCCTTCCTGTGGAAACCAGGATAAGGGCTCTGCCCACCTTTCCCCCTCACCCTCCCTGCCTTTTTACCAACTCAGGTGCGTCCCCATATGGCGCCTGAGGTGTGGCAGGCTCCTCCGGTGATTTGGGAGTAGAACAGAGTGTATTCTTTACCAACAGTTGTCTCCTGGTCCGTCGGTCTTGCTCTCCCTCAATAATATTATAACCTGTATTTTAAACCACCCTCCACAATCTGCTCTTCCTCTTGTGGAAACATGTGCCTGAGTGATCTTCTCAAAACTCAACTCTCATCATCTTGCACTCTCTCTTGCCTGCTTGAAACCTTTCAATGGCATCCCCTGGGTCTTGGGATAATGTGGAAAGTCCTCACTGTGGTGTCCAACGCTTTGCGTGACCCAGCCTGTCTCTCTGACCTCCATGCCTTGGCCCTGCCTCTGGGCCTTTGCACCAGCCATTCTCCCTGCCCTCTCTCCAACTGTGCCCAGCTCTTCTTGCCCTCTTGATCTCAGCCTCCTTAGGGACTCTGACTCTAACTCTGACTCCTCCTTCCGCCACTTCTTTACCTTCCCACTCCTTTCCTTCCTTCTCAAGATCCATTCATTGGATGGGGCGCCTGGGTGGCGCAGTCGGTTAAGCGTCCGACTTCAGCCGGGTCACGATCTCGCGAGATCTCGCGTGATCTCGCGTGAGTTCGAGCCCCGCGTCGGGCTCTGGGCTGATGGCTCGGAGCCTGGAGCCTGTTTCCGATTCTGTGTCTCCCTCTCTCTCTGCCCCTCCCCTGTTCATGCTCTGTCTCTCTCTGTCCCAAAAATAAATAAACGTTGAAAAAAAAAATTAAAAAAAAAAAAAGATCCATTCATTGGCAAATGTATTATAATTTCTTCGCTTACCATCTCCCCAACTAGAGCACCCACCCCATGAGGGCAAGGACCACGTCTATTTTGTGCCTTTGGCATCCCAGCACCCAGCACACCGTCAGCACTCAGTAAACACCGAAATTACCGAATGATTGTGCCGGGCTGTGCAAGACACTCTTGTCTGTATTGACTCCTTTCATCTCCTTGGCAACCCTGTGAGGTGGGAATTACCATCTCCATCCAGTCAGGGAGGCAACCAAGACTCAGAGAGGTAAAGTAACCTCCCTAGGGTCACACAGCAACTAAGTGGCACGGACAAGGAATCCAAACACAGGTCAGTCTGCTTGCCAGAGTTGGGCTCCCTTCTTCCCCAGGACAGACTATGTCTCTTCATGACGGGACACTATCTGCCACCCTGTGAAAATCACAGTGAGGGGTAAGCTTCCCTTTCAGTCTGGTAGATTCGCTAACTCAGGGGATAAAAGCCCAGAAGCTCAGATGAAAAGAGAAAAAACTTCCGTATCTGAAATACCCTAGCCAAGGCTCAGACCCTAATTTAAGGAACTGGAGTGAATTACATGATGGTACAAATACGATTTTTGACAGCCATTTCCTCAAGCTCTTCTCTTCTTTAAATAGCAAAATTATGTGAAATAAATGTTCCCTGCTATTTTGGTAAATTACATGCTGTATATACACAACAAATGCCAAGAAATTTTGTAAGCCAACCTGTTTCCAAGCCCTCATACATTTAACATATGTCATCACGATTTTCTTTATCTTTCCTATCACATTTTCCCCCCTTGGGAAGTCTTGACTCAGAGAGTTGATAAATACTTTCAGGAACCCGACCGAGTCGAAATGTAGCCTGCTTTTCTGAGAGTCATTTAGTGTCAAAGGTCTCTCTTTATGTCTGTCTTTAAACAAGTTTTCATAAAGAAAGATGCGCTGGCTTCTTGGGGTTTGCCGGAGTGGGAATGTGAGCAGATCCCGGTTTAAACCTGCGGGGAGCTAAGTCACTTTCTCAAGGTCATATTTCACAAGGGTCAGTGTCCTCTGAGCTCAGGCAGAAAGGCGATTCGAGCGGGACCAGGTGGAGGGAAGGTGGCATTTACTCAATGCCCGTGATTTTCCCGTTCCTTCGTCAAGCTCAGTTAACCTCTATAGCGGTCCTGCAAGCTCCTTATCATTCCTATTCCACAGATGAAAGTGTCTGCACTGCGCTTAGCAGGTGCCACGTTATCAACAAGCGCTCTGGAAAGAGTTGCTGTTGTTACTTATATTACAAAAGCAATATATGTGCAGGTTTAAAATTGCAAACGTTAGAAAAGTCCAAAATGAAAAGTAGACAAATGTCTTTCCCATCCAGAAAGTCCCCATTTCCGTGCAGTCCTTCTTCCCAGAAGAAACCAGCCTGTGATTTCTTATGTATCCTTCCAGAACGCCCAGGACGGTGGAAGAATACTCGATAGCATCGTTTGTCCAACAAAGGTGCACACAAATTATCTGGGGACCTGGCTAAAATGCAGATAGATGCTGATTCAGTAGCTCTGGGTCAGGGCCTGAGACTCTGAATTTCTAACAAGCCTCTAGGGGATGCTGGGGCCCCTGGTTCAAGACCACACTTAAATCTTAGTAGCGAAGAACCTAGATCACGTAACCACATTCTAGCATATTTAATAACGAACCCTGACAATCTTTTCCTGTTGGCTCTTAGAGATCAACGTGTGTGTGTGTGTGTGTGTGTGTGGGTGGGTGGGTGGGTGGGTGTGTGTGTGGGTGGGTGTGTGTTTATTATGGCAAAATATACGTAAGATAAAATTTACCAATTTGGACAATTTTAAGCATATGGTTAGCGGCCTTAAGTACCTTCGCGCTGTTATGCAACCAACACTACCATCGTTTCCAGAACTTTTTCATCTTCCCCAGCTGAAACTCTGTCCCCGTTAAACACCAAATCCCCCTTCCCCCCAGCCCCTGGCAACTGCTATCCTACCTTCTGTCCCTGTGAATTTGACTATTCTAGGCCCCCTCGTATAGGCACACTCATACAATATTTGTCTTCTCATGCCAGACTTATTTCATTTAGCATAATATCTTCAGAGTTCATCCATGTTGTAGTGTGTCAGAATGTCCTCTTTTTTAAGGGCTGAATAATATTCCACTGTATGTCCAGGCCACACTCTGTTGATCTGTTCGTCCAATGATGGCCCCTTGGATGGTTGAGATATTATGATAGGGATCAACAAACAGAATTTTTTAAACATTCTCTTAAGTGGGTGCACCATAATCTATGTAATTACTCCCCTCCCGATGATTACTGCACACAGCAGGCCGGCACCAGAAGAGAATATAGCAGAGCGGCTGGGAGTGGGGACTCTGAAGTCAGACGGCTTTGCCAAAGTCTGCCTTAGACACCTGCTGGGTGACCTTCGTGCAGCTCCTGGCCCCTCTGGCCTTCACTGTCCTCATCTGTGAAATGGGGTTAGTGACGGTGAAAAGTACATAAGGTAATCAATGCAGAGCACAGGCATGGCACCTGACACCCGGCAGGCTAACAACACTTATCAGCCGTTGTTTGTATCGTAAGCCGTTGCCTTCTCACGTCTGTCCCTGCAACGAACTGCCAGCAGCATAGTTCTGTGTGGGAGCACAGAGCACTGGACGTTTTGAAAGCTATCACAGAGTACCTTCCCCAGAGTTGCAGTGGTCCCTTGAGTCACAGAAAGAAGTGTGGAGCCCTTGGATGGTCCTTGAGGAGAGGATACTAGATACAAGCAGGATCCCGAGGAGATTGTCGGGCTTCATGGTCATTCCCTCTGCGATGTTACCTTGGAGTTAAGGGTGATCCATTCATCTTCCCTTCATCCCTGAAAATGAGGTGATGACGCACGTAAATGTCCATTTCCTTCTCGGGGCGCCTGGGTGGCTCAGTCGGTTGAGCGTCCGCCTTCAGCTCAGGTCATGATCTCACGGTCTCTGAGTTCGAGCCCTGGTTCGGGTCGCACTCTGTGCTGACAGCTCATTGCCTGGAGCCTGCTTTGGATTCTGTGCCTCCCTCTCTCTCTGCCCCTCCCCCGCTCACGCTCTGTCTCTCAAAAAGAAATAAACATTAAAAAAATTGTTTTAAATGTCCATTTCCTTCCCTTTTCCAATACTTCTCTATATTTCTATCTCCCATGAATACCTAGGGGACTGTTGATGTTTCTGATGTGGGGGTTGCTTCTTAGGGACAGGAAGTCCCACTTATTTGAAATTCCTTCCCATTTAATACCACCCCTTACTCAGAGGGTTGCAGAGTTGAAATGTTACCCCCGCACACGCCCCTAGCTAGCCTTTCAAAGCTTTTTTTTTTTTAAGTTTATTTATTTTTGTTAGAGAGACAGAGTGTGAGAGGACGAGGGGCAGAGAGAGAGGGAGACATAGAATCTAAAGCAGGCTCCAGGCTGTGAGCTCTCAGCACAGCCCGATGCGGGTCTTGAACCCACAAACGGCGAGATCATGACCTGAGCTGAAGTCAGACACTTAACCGACTAAGCCTCCCAGGTGCCCCCAAGGCATTAAAAAAAAGTTCATTTATTTATTTTGAGAGAGAGACAGAGAGAGAACACAAGCAGGGGAGAGGCAGAGAGAGAGAGAGAATCCTAAGCAGGCTCCGAGCTGTCAGCATGGAGCCCGACACGGGGCTCGAACTCACAAACCGTGAGATCATGACCTGAGCCAACGTCAAGAGTCCAACAGTTAACCTACAGAGCCACCCAGCCGCCCCTCACGGCACTTACCTGTAGCATTTCTCACAATGTGCAAGACAGCTATGTGTGGGCACACACACCTTTTTCAATGCCCGCCTCCCTCCCCAGCAGCAGACCATGAGCCCAGCAGGAAGGAACCTCAGTGTGCTTGGCTCACCCTTGAAACCCCAGTACTTTTGGACTCGCTACGAGGCAGGTGCTCAATAAATATTTGTTGAATCAATGAACAAATGGATTCCAGTAACATCGATGGCAGGATTAAAGGTTGAGGGGGTTGGTTTTTTTTGATGGTGAAATACACAAACCAAATTAATCGTTTTAATTATTTGTAAGCGTACATACACTCGCCTTGTTGGGCAACCACACTGTCCTTCGTCTCCAGGACTATTTCGTCTTCTCAAAATGCAACTCTGACCCCCTTAAACACGAGCCTTCCATTCCTTCCCAGCCCTGCCCCCACCACCCCTGGCGATTTTCTCTGTTAAATTGAGTTCTCCAAGCATCTCGAAAGTCGAATCATACAATATGTGTCCTTTTGCGACCGGTATGTTTCACTTAGCGTGGTGTTTTCAAGGTTCGTCCGTGTCGTAGCATGGGTCGACGCTTCACTCCTTTATAAGACTGAATAGTATTCCATTGTGTGGCTAGGACCCCGTTTTGTCTATCCATTCATCAACTGAGAGACACTTGGGTCGCTCCCACCTTTTTGGGCTCTCATGACTCGTGCGGCAGTGAACTTGGTGTATATTCACAATGGCATGCAACAGTCACCTCTATCTGGTTCCAGGGAATTTCCACCGTCTCAAAAGGAAACCCGGTACCATCAGGCAGCCACCCCCCCTTCCCCCACCACTCCCAGACCCCGGTGACCGCTAATCCACCTTCTGTCTCCATGCGCTGGTCCATTCTGGATACTTCACGTAAATGGAATCATGCAACATGCGGCCTTTTGCGTCTGGCTTCCTTCGCCCAGCTTCACGTTTCAACGTCCATCTGAGTTGTGGCAGGTGTTGGTGATTTGAGGACTCTTACGCAGCGGTGGGCTATCGACCACTCAAACCAGCCCTAAGAGCAGACTGACTGTTGAACGTTCAGAACATTTTGGAGCCTGTTATTTCACCATCGGCAGGTTGAACTTGGTCTCATATACACCCTGGATATCGTCACATGCTACACATCCTTATGGCCTGGGGGGTTTAAGCTGAGATTCAGTCTATGGGCACGCCACTGGCCTGAGAACAATCCCGTGGTCTCCCTCAGCATGCCCCCCAAAGCTACCCCCAAAGAAAGGCCTGGTCAGAGGAAAACAGTGTTCTTGCTGCTTAAGCAAAGCCCCAGACCCCAGCTTCTAACCAGATTTCCGGGCCCCAGGCCTTTGCTCCCGGGGGACACCTGCCTCCCGGCTCCAGGCAGGGGCATCTATCTGTCCTGTATCACAGGGGTCCTGGGCCTCTCGGACGAGGTAGAGGGGCTGCAGACACCCACCTCCGCCGGCAGAGTAGGGGCTCCGATCCTCGGCACGACTGCTTCATGATCGGTACGGGGCAGGCGCGCAGCAGAATCGTTTGTCTGACTCCGTGGCACGAAATCAGTCCGCACATCAGCGACGGCAGCACCACCTGGGAACGTGTCAGAAATGCAAAATCTCAGTTCCCAGCCGAGACCTTCTGAATCAGACCCTCTGGCCGTGGGGCCCCCGGCCATCAGGGTCGTGACCAGCCCTGTAGGGGTTCAAAGGACTCCACTCAGCTAAAACGCCCTGCAGCAGTGTGATGACCTGGGAAGTGGTCGGCCAGGCTGGAATAGAGCTGTGCCTTCTGATTCCCGCTCTAGAACACATCGTTTCCCACTGCCTGGCAAGTCTCCTACATGTAGGCCAGCTCAGTTCAGGCATCACCTTCCTTCCCCAGACGCCTTCTCTCTGGGGAGAGAAACTGATGCCCAGTGATTAGGACCTAGGGCTCTAATACCAAAGCCAACCGGGCTGAGGCCTCAGCTCCTTCAAGCTGTGTGACTTTGGATGAGTGCCTTAACCTCTCTGGGCATCGGTTTCCTCATCCGTGACGTGGGGATAATAGCGGTACCTAATTCACAGGCTAATTGTCAGGGTATCAGGCGAGAATGTAAAAGGCTTATAGCATAGCTCTTAGCGCATAGCAAGTGCTCAGTAAAAACAGCTCTGTGGTTTGAGAACTAGTATCTAAGAAGCTTGAGGGAGGGGAATTCGAGGTGTGCACAGTGCTTTAAATTTGTTTGCATAATAACTCTGGATGGGGCTTATTTGTAGCAGATACCATTGGTGTCGGTCCCAGATCCCCTCTACCAGGCTGGTGAATCTCCCGGGTGCCATTAGGTTTGGCGGCTTATAGCTCCCAGCTGCGGTCCGCTCTGAAGAGTGCCCTCAGCTGAGGGGAGCCGCCTCACCTGGGGACACCTAGGAGGTTATGCCCTCCGCCCCTGCGGTGACGTGCCAATGACTGACGCGAGCCCAGCCCCCAGACCTCTGGGTGGGACCATCCTGGTGGCATAATTCCCACTCCAGAGCTCCCCAACGGATCAGATTTCAGCAAAAACCACATCCCCGCCTTGTCCTGCCTCCCTCACTTCCCAGTGGAAGTACTTCCTTAACAAATCCTCGCGCAAGAATCCCCAGCTCATTTTTGCAGCGATCGAAGAATTCATCATGAAATCCATCCGGAATCCCATGGAACCCAGAACGGCCAAAACAATTTTGAAAACGAAGAACAGAATTGGAGGTCTCACACTTCCTGATTTCAAATCTCACTACAAAGCGACAGCGACGAAAACCACGTGGTACTGACCTAAGGAAAGACATATAGACCAAGGGAATGGAGTAGAGAGCTCAGAAGTGAACCCTCATGTGTAACGGTCAAGTGATTTTTGACGAGATCATTCAATGGGGTGAAGGGCGGTCCTCTCAACAAATGGTGCTGGGAAAACTGGATGTCCACGTGCAAAATAAAAGCCGGACCCCCACCTTATGACATATACAAAAATCAACTCAAAATGGATCAAAGATCTAACCCTATAAAAAGCTCTTAGACGAAAATATAAGGAAAAAGATTCATGGCATTGGAACTGGCTGGACTATATCACAATTAAAAATTTGCGTACATCCAAGGACGCAGTCAACAGAGCTGAAAAGGCCACCTGTGTAAAGGGAGAAACTATCTGTAAATCATATATCTGATAAAGCATTGATATCCAGAATATATTCCCAATAGGCCTGATTTAAAAATAGACAAAAGCCTTGAACATGTTTTCAAAGATATACACATGGCCAACAAATCGGTGCTCAATTTTAGGGAAATTCAAATCCAAACCACAACCAGATACCGTTCCACACCCATTAGGCTGGCTTTTATTTAAAAAAAAAAAAAAAAAGAAAAGAAAAGAAAAGAAAAAAGAAATAGTTCAGTATCGGCAAGGATGTAGAAAATTGGAACATTTGTGCATTGATGACGGAAATATAAACTGCTACAGCCGCTGTGGAAACCTATATGCAGGTTTCTCAGAAAATTAAACATTAAGATTACCCTATGAGCCAGCAATCCCGCTTCTGGGTATAGAACCAAAAGAAGGGAAAGCTGGGACTCAGACACACGCACACCCACCGTCCCAGCAGCGTTATTCACAACAGCCCAAAGGTGGAACAGCCCAAGCGTCCATGATGGGCGGATAAAAAAAAGTTGTGGTATGTCCATACCACGGAATATTATTTACCCTAAAAAAGGAAGGGCATTCTGGAATGTGCTACGACGCGAATGAACCCCGAGGACATGATTCTGAGTGAAAGAAGCCGGTCACAAAAAGCACAAATACCGTACGATTCCACTCACGTGAGGCACGTAGAAAAATTCAATTCACAGAGACAGAACGTGGGATGGTGGGTGTCAGGGACTGGAGGAAGAGGGGAACAGGGAGTTAGTGTTTAGTGGGTAGAGTTCCAGACCGGGGAGAGGAAGAGCCCTGGAGATTCACGGTGGTGATGGTGGGACAACAACGTGAATGGACTTAATGCCATACGATTGTACACTTATACGTGGTTAAGATGGCAAATTTTATTTTATGTGTCTTTTACCACAATCGAAAAAGAAGAGAATCCCACCGTAGGCTCTGTGTCTCAGGCATCCGATTCATGATGCAATTATCACACCCAATTTATAGAGGAGGTAAACTGAGGCTCAGAGTGACTGTTCTATCTTATCGGCCGGGGATGATAATAGTCACTGCCATTCAGGGTTTTGTGAGGATTAAATCAACTAATGACGCGTGTAAAGACCCCTGATCAAGGAAGAGAGTTACCTAGGAAGATGTGGGAGAAGGAAATCAGAAAGAAGTCACGGTAGCTTCCACTGAATTATGGCCAAACGTTGGCAATTTTCTGTCGTGCAACCTGACAGTAATGTTCGGTCCTTAAGCTGGACAGCGGAGCCAAAATATTTCTGTCATTGTTACCTATACGCTTGCATATGTTTTAAATATTTCAAAATAAAATTTCTATGGAACGAACGTCAGAGTAGGTAGGGAGCAATAGAAGGGTTTGGAGAGAGAGCGTCCCGTCTTTGGCCGGGAATGCAAGGTTTTGATCTGACAGAAATGGGGTTGAACCTTGGCTCTGTGTCACTTTAGCCATGGCTGTGAGCGAGTCACGTGACTTCTGGGGCCACGGTTTCCTGGTCTAGTAAAGGGCTGGTAAGGATCCCAACCTCGACCGTTGTGCGGATCCGAGCGCTTGGAAAACAACGCCCAGAATGAGGCACGGAACGTAAGCTCGGGGCTGCCAGCCGGGGGTGGTGATACTAGACGGGATGGGGTGAGAGCTCCAGGCTTCAGTCAGACCAGACCAGCCTGCAAACCCTGTGTTCTAGGTCTGCCCCAGGCGAGCCTCACAGCTCAAGCTTTCCAAGCCCAGCCTCGTCCGTGAGTGGTGTTTCAGGTATTTGCAAACTCGCTGTGATTTCATCTGCCTTTTCTCTTCTCCAACTTCGTAAGCAGGACGTGTTCCCCCTGCTTCTATGCCAGAGCACCAGTTATTCTTGGTGAAATACAGGGGATCGTGCAACAATTAATAATGATAATAGTAACAGTATGTTTTACTTAGATATTTCTTCTTTTCTACCTCTTTTTTTTTAATGTTTATTTTTGAGACAGAGAGAGACGGAGCATGAGCGGGGGAGGGGCAGAGAGAGAGAGAGAGAGAGGGAGACACAGAATCCGAAGCAGGCTCCAGGCTCCGAGCTGTCAGCACAGAGCCCGACGCGGGGCTCGAACTCACGGACGGACCGCGAGATCGTGACCTGAGCCGAGTCGGACGCTCAACCGACTGAGCCACCCAGGCGCCCCTCTACCTCTTTATTTTTTTAAGTTTATTATTTATTTTGAGAGAGAGAGAGAGAGAGAGAGAACCAATGGGGGAGGGCAGAGAGGGGGGGACAGAGGATCTGAAGAGGGCTCTCTGCTGTCAGCACAGAGCCCGATGTGGGGCTCAAACTCGTGAACCATGAGATCGCGACCCGAGCCGAAGTCAGATGCTTCACCCACTGAGCCACCCAGGCGCCCCTCCTTTTTTAGCTTTTTAAAGCATTGGCCCAAATGTGCCCTCTAGGCCTTCATGCTCCTGACTTTCCAGACTTCTGTTTTCAAAGCCCTAAGAGCAACGGGCATTACTCATTCAACATCGCTCTCTCCCGTGACCCTTGGCTGGGACGCCTCTGTTCTGTCCCCACCGTGACCCCAAAACCCACCACAGGGCTGGCGGACGGTAGGAGTTTTGTGTTTGGGAGTGAGGGAGATGGAAGGACACAGGTAATTTTACTGCTGAGCCCCAGATGAAGAGGTCGCCGCTCGGAGAAACCAAGGCTTTTCCAGAGTAACAAGAAATAGTATCATTTGAAGGAATGTATCGCAGAGCGGAGTCCGTGGGTCTCAAACGCGAAAGCCTACAAGCCCAGACAAAAGGGGCAAGTGCCAAGTAAGAGGGACAGAGAACAGGTACAAGTGGCAAAAGACCCTCCAGGCTGGAGGTAACTTGGAGAGGAAGGGACTGTGATCAACCATGGAGTGTGTGTCCCATCTACGGGGAGCCCACTACCCAGATTGAGCCACACGGCTCCCTTACAGGAAGATGAGCCCCAGGTGACCAGAACTCCACTCTTTTTTTTAACTAATCTCTCCACCCAACATGAGGCTCGAGCCTACAACCCCAAGATCGAGAGTCGCATGCTCCACTGACTGAGCCAGCCAGCTGCCCCAGATACTCTACTTTTTGAAGGGACATGAAGAATCTGGCTTTCTACAGTACTTCTCCCAATTAAAAAACTTGGGCATCCACTTTAACTATAAAAAAAAGACTGTAAGGGCAACTTTTCTGTGGACGTAATGTCACCCCTTAGGTGACCACAAATTGTTACCCCTGACACAGAGAGAGGAGTCTAAATTCTGAAACACAGGTGATTCCAAACAGTATTTACATCTACAGCAAAGATATCCTCTTTCACATAGCCTAGCTCGTGTATAGGGTCCCCCTGGAGTTGTGCAGTGCCCAACCTGTACAAATGTACGTGGCAGCCCTGATACATTAACTCTTAAAGCTGTCACACACACACACACCCCCCACCAGTCCAACTCAATGGAGATGCCACCCCCTACCTGCACATCCATTCGATTCTCCGGACCATGAGAAAAAGCCTTTCACCTGTCTTGGGCACAAGAGCTGTTCAGCAAGGGCATTGAAGGGAAGTTCTAGCCATCATGACCAGATCTGCTCTGTTCTCTAGGGTGGTGAAATTCCGTCGCACGGGCGAGAGTGCCAGGTCAGAGGATGACACGGCTTCGGGAGAGCATGAGGTCCAGATTGAAGGGGTCCGCACGGGCCTAGAGGCTGTCGAGCTGGACGATGGGGCAGCTGTGCCCAAGGAGTTTGCCAATCCCACTGACGGTGAGGGGGCTCTGCATTTGGGATGTCAGCCTGGGCCACAGCCAGGGGCTCTGAGGTGCCAGCGTTACCTCCCCAGATAGCACTCTCAGAGGTATCTAGGGAAGGGATAGGTAAGAGGGCCCAGAGGGCCCAGAGGTGACACTGGGAGTGTGGGCAGGCCTACATGGCTGACTCCAGCAGATAAGGTTACATCACAATCCCTGCCAGTCTGCTTCATTGCACAACACTCAGCTGAGGACAGCAGCGGCGATGATGATGATGGTGATGGTGGTGATGTTAGTGGTGATGGTGATGATAGCGTGATGATGGTGGTGAGGTGACAGTGATGATGATGGTGAGGAGGAGGAGGGGGAGGGGGAGAATGATGAGGAGGAAGAGGATTCTGATGATGATGGCAATGATGATGATGGTGATGATGATGGTGATGATGGTGGTGATGATGGTGGTGATGATGGTGGTGATGGTGGTGATGATGGTGATGATGGTGGTGACGATGTTGGTGATGGTGGTAATGGTGATGATGGTGATAATGTTGGTGGTGATAGTGATGATGGTGTAATGATGGTGGTGAGGTGACAGTGATGATGATGGTGAGGAGGAGGAGGAGGATGGTGATGATGGCAAATGATGGTGATGGTGACAACAGTGATGGCGGTGGTGATGAAGAGGATGGTGACAATGGTAGTAGTGATGGTGATGATGGTGGTGATGACAGTGATGGTGATGATGTGGTGGTGACGGTGATAGTGAGGATTATGGTGTTAGTGATGAAGAGGATGATGATGGTGGTGGTGGTGGTGATGATGATGATGGTGGTGCTGGTGGTAACGGTGGCAGTGGTGATGAAGATGACGACGATGATGGTGATTATGGTGATGGTGATAATGGTGATGGTGCTGATGATGTGATGGTGGCGGTGGTGATGAAGAGGATGGTGATGGTGATGATGGTGATGATGATAGTGATGATGGTGGTGGTGGTGATGATAATGATATTAGTGGTGGCAAAGATAATGGTGGTGGTGGTGTTGATGATAGCATAATGATGATGGTGAGATGGTGGTGATGATGGTTGTGGTGGTGGTGGTGATGGTGATGGTGGCAATGATGGTGATGATGCTGATGGTAGTGATGATGAAAGTGGTGATGGTGGTGATGGTGGTGGTGATGGTGATGATAGTGTAATGATGGTGGTGATGATGGTGGTGGCGATGGTGGTGGTGGTGATGATGGTGATGGTGGTGACGGTGGTGATGGTGGTGGTGGTGGTGGTGAGGATGGTGGTGATGGTGGTAATCATAGTGTAATGATGGTGAGCTGGTGGTGATGACGACGATGATGATGGCAATGGTGATGTTGATGGTGGTGGTGGTGACGGTGACCATAGTGACAGGAGCAGTGGACATTGGCTGAGGATTACTCTGGGCCAGGCGCTGTAAGTACCTTGCCCAGGGTCACACACCCCAAAATGAGCAAAGCTGGAATGACAGCCAGGCAATTCTCAGAGCCCACCTTCGTACCCCTGATCCTGTGCTCCTCTGAGTAGAGCTAGTCAAACAAGAGACACCCAAGGCGATGCTGTGGCACCTGGTCTCCCCTCACACACAATGCTGGTGGATGAGAACATCCCATGCATTCCTGGAAGGCCCGAGATTCCCAACATGAGAGAGGGTTCGTGGCTCAAACCCAAGGCCTGTTGTTGGCAGATCTAAGGAGGCAATGACTGGGGAGGGGGCAGGCAACGGTTGGGAGCAGTGGCTTTACTCCCAGGCTGATCCGACTCAGCTCCAGGATCTACAGTGTGGCAGTTGCGTGCCACTGGGCAAGTCCTTGTCCTCCTCTGCAAAACGGAGCTGGGACTGGGTCTGAGCTAATGGGTGAGACGGGGATGAAAGGAGACAGTGAACGTCAAGGTCTTCATGCAGTGCCTGGCCCACGGTGAGCCATGAAACATGCACCATTATTCTGTTATTACTGTTCTTAGTACTGACGCTGCTGTAGGACTTACTCTGCTTTCTCCTCTGTATTTTTTTGCTGGAGGAAACTCGATCCTGCTGGTGTGATAGACACCAGCTCACACTTCTGGAGAAAATTGTGATTGATGTAAGAGGCCCATGACCGAAACTCGAAAAACATGACAATCCCAGCAGGGGCTGATGAGATCCTCAGAGGCAGCCCACAGAAGGGCCACCCAGTGTGCTCCTTTAGTATTTTTAGTTTGCAATTAACGTGTTTTGGAAACCACTTTAAATTCACAGAGAAGTTGCAAGCGCAGTTCAGAGAGCTGCCTCAGACCCTTCCTGCAGCTTCCCTTGACATTAACATCTTACGGGGCTACGGTGCATTTGTCAGAACGAAGAAACGAACACTGATGCAATACTATTCACTAAATCCCAGACTTTTTTTAAAGTTTTTAAATTTATTTTTTAAGAGAGAGAGAGAGAGCGCAGGGGAGGGACAGAGAGAGAAGGAGAGAGATAATTCCAAGCAGACTCTGCGCTGCCAGTGCAGAGCCCAACGCAGGGCTCAAACTCACCAACCGTGGGATCATGACCTGAGACGAAACCATTGAGTCGGATGCCCAACCAACCGAGCCTAAACCCCAGACTTTTGATTCAGATTTCCCCAGTTTCTCCAGCCGTGCTGTTGCAGGGCTCAGTCCAGTCAACTATGTTGTATTTAGTCTTTCCATATTTTTCAAAAACACTTATGAGCTGATCGATGATATCCTATTTTTTTCTGAGCACACAAATAACATATGCTGCCTTGGAGAGCATTTTCCACATTCTAGAAAGGCACAAAGTTGGAAAGTTACAAAGATGACTGTGAACAGTTTGTGGACACTCAATCTTACTGCTCTTGGAGAGCACACACACACATACCTAATTTTATCGCAACCACAGCCCTTAAGGGTGCACACCTATCTCCAGTTACCTTTTTCACTTAAGGATATAATGCCGACACCTTTCCACCTGAGTGCAGCAGCATTCTGCTTTCGAAAAGTCTTTCCTGACTCTGGAAGCAATACGTTGTGGAAAAAAAAAAAAAGCCTAAAATCTCAGAGGATTTCTCCCTTCCTCTCTCCAAAGACAACAAGAATGAAACCATAATGTAAAGTTTTGTATGTATTCCATGCATATACACATACCTACATTCAAATGCATACACATGCACACAGGCATGTGATTCCAAGAAGAGAATCACACTAAACATGTTTTCCATTTTACTTTGGGTTTTTTTAAGTTTATTTATTTATTTTGAAAGAGAGAAAGAGAGAGAAGGCATGTGCAAGTGGGGGCAGGACAGAGAGAGGGAGAGAGAGAATCCCAAGCAGGCTCCGTGCTGTCAGCACAAAGCCCTACGGGGGGAAGGGGGGGAGCTTGAGCCATGAACTGAGCCAAACCTGACCACGACCTGAGCCAAAACCAAGAGTTGGACACTTCACTGCCTGAGCCACCCAGAAGCCCCTGTTTTGCTTTATTTAAAAAAAAATTAACAATATATTGTGTGCATATGCACATTCTTTTTAACAGGCAGGTCATATGTCATAATGTCAATATATACAAATGTATATACAATCATGATCTACATAATAGTTTATTTAACCAACCCCTGTTGGTAGACATTCTGGGTTTTCCAGTTTTCCCTTTTACAAACCATGCTGCAGTGGGCTTTGTGGCCAGATAGCTCTTCATATTGGCTGGAATGTTTTTCTAGGATGACGTTTCTAGAAGTAGTATGTGCTGCCTTTACTAAGCTTGGCTGTGGACCCTCCCCCTTCCCAGACACCCCCACACGAGGACAACTGCAGGGTGCACTCATTCCTTCGTCCCCTCCCCTTTTCTCCTTTTCCAGATACTTTCATGGTGGAAGACGCGGTAGAAGCCATTGGGTTTGGAAAATTTCAATGGAAGCTGTCGGTGCTCACGGGCTTGGCCTGGGCAAGTATTTGTGGGCATGGTGACCTCACTTTCAGTCTCCAAGACCCCCCCCCCGGGACGCTCAAGTGGGTTCTAGGGGCTGTACAGAAGGACATAGTTGTCTCCACCTGAAGCCTTTGCTTGAATCAATAAAAGTTTGTGTTGCATGACCCTGGTGATCTGAAGATCTGCCCTTGGGGGTAGTTTGGGTGTGGTTGGCGACGGCCCTCAAGGTGGCTTTGAAGCTTCTGGCTAAAAAGTGGTTCTCAACCCTTTGGGGCTCGGGGTTGCTATAAGATTACGGTGTCATCTGTGGAGCTCACCCTAGGTAAACACACACAAATAAAAATGTGCTTTCTGCTTCGAGAGGCTCATGGTCCCTTGTTAAAAATCCCCTAATCTTCCTCTAGCACCGCGCAGCTAGACCTTTTTTTTTTAATGTTTATTTTTGAGGGAGAGACAGAGTGCGATGGGGGAGGGACAGAGAGAGGGGGAGACACAGAAGCCAAAGAAGGCTCCAGGCTCTGAGCTGTCAGCACAGAGCCGGACGTGGGGCTCAAACCCACAAACTGTGAGTTCATGACCTGAGCCGAAGTCAGACGCTTCACCGACCGAGCCACCCAGGTGCCCCTGCAGCTAGACCCTTAACACAGCGGAAATGGATTTTTGTGAATGCTGCATGACCTATTTTTTCAAATGGATCTCTAATTTCCCCACTTCATTCCTCCCTCCTAATTTGAAAAGCCTCCCATATTATCCATCACATTCCTGTGGCTACACGGAGCTGCTTCTGAACTCTCATTTCTGTCTAGTCTCATAAAGGTACCATGGTGTGTGATCACTGGAGCTTCCTAGTATGTGTTAATTATTAGAAGGTCATACTTGTTAACGGAACTGACAATTCTGCATGAACAATGACCTATAAACCAAAGCCAAGCTAGTCTTTAACTGAGCCAACGAAAAAAGATCATGGTCTGTCTGCCTCTACGAAAAAGTTTTTCTGGGATTTTAGAAGCATAATAACATTTCCCCCACTTCGTTTGGGGGGGGGGGGGGGGTGCCTCTGTTTCTTCAACACAGAAATACGCAGAGAGAATGTTACACGCCCCTTTGTCAATTCCCACATGGTAACATTCTCTTTTAACTACCGGAGTCTGCAGTGTGTTTTGGTGCGTGGTAGGGCGCTCAGCAGCCGCCAGTGGAAGAGGGGTTTTCTACGTGCTCTCCTAGGGGTCATGGACTTGGTGAGGGCGCAGCCGCCCCGCCCCCGGCGCCGGGCAGACCCGGGCTGGCCTCACCGTGATTGCTTCCTCCCTGCAGATGGCCGACGCCATGGAAATGATGATCCTGAGTATCCTGGCTCCCCAGCTGCACTGCGAGTGGAGACTCCCCAGCTGGCAGGTTGCGTTGCTGACCTCGGTAGGCACCCCCCCCACCCCCTCCTCCCACGGGTCTCCTGTGGCCTTCAGGACACCCCCTGGGGTGCTTTGTGGGGTGAAAGGCTCAGGCTGAGCAGGAAAAAAATAAAACCCGGGTTGGAAACCACGTGATCCCAGCTTCCCTAACTCCTCTGTGCACCTCAAACATCGGTGGCAGGTTTGTGGCAAATACTGCTCCCCCCAGGAGTCCCAGGACGTGAGGTCCCAGACATTCTGCTCAGTGGCTGGGAAGCTGGAACCCACCGGGGCATAAACCTTTTAAGCCTCCCGGCAAAAAGGAGATGCCGGTTCCTCCCACGACCAGGGAGATCTGAACATTGAAAGGACACAGTGCCTGACACATAGTAGGTGTTCCGTAAATGGTAGGGAGCGTTGCTCCCTGGAATGGAGGCTTGAAGGAGAGTGAGGGAAAACCCTCCGTATTTGTCAGGGGAGCTCAGCAGCAGCCCCTCTACAAGGGAGGGGAACGGCCAGGCTGGATAAGAGGATAATAATGGCACAAAAGCTAATATTTATTAAGCTCTTTCTGTGCAAAGGGCTTTACATATATTGTATGCAATCCATGCATACTATGTATTGTACTCTTTAATCCTCACAACCCTAGGAGGCAGGTACTATTGTTAGCTGAGGAAAATGAGGCACAGAGAGGTTAAGTCACTCACGAAAGGTCACACAGCCTAGCCACTGGCAAAGTACAGTAATTGCTAGCTAGGAGCATCTCCAAGAATGCTGTAACTGTCCTGGAATGGCCTGAGTGCCTTCAGCAACCAGGACTGGTCCGATATCAGCAGTAAAGTTGTACAGCCTTGTGGGAGGAGTTTATGAAACTCCTGTGTTTAGCGGTTTACTCACCCAGACGTGTGACCTTGAGTGAGGCACTTTCCGGCTCTATTTCATCACCTGCAAAACGGAGGTGATAATGCCTGTTTTCCTTGACAACAGCAAAACGCTTACAGTGCCTAGCACACGGTAGGGGATGAATGATTGAGACTTCTTTCTCACCTTCCTGATTTTCACTGATTCCCCCCTCAAGCATACCCGCAGGTCTGTGTGGTTGCAACGGGGAGCCTTTCTCCTCTTTTGTGATTTGGTTCCGCAACAATCACCCCTTACCGAGCTCTTATTATGCGCCCGGCTCAGTGCTGAGGGTTTGACACGCGTTATCTTTTTAACCTTCTCAACCCTGTGAAAGAGGTGCTCTTCTCACTCCCGGTTCACAGATACGGAAACTAAGGCCCAGAGAGGCGTGGTGACCTGCCCAAGCTCCCACAGCCCATAAGAGGCTCTGCTGGGCCAAGAGGGCTCCCTTGGGGGAGAAAAACTGGGGGAAATATGGGGGGGGATGCTTAATTCTTCTGGGGCACAAGGATAGCACATCATTAAGGGAGCAGTTCACCCCAAGACAGCAGTCGTCAAACATTTTTTGCTCTCGGTCGTTTAGAAGAGATTTTTCTAAAAACTAGGCCGGTCCCGGGACTTTTCTAGGTTTTAAAATTGACATTCGGTGTCTTTATTTTCTTTTTCTTTTTACTTCTTTTCAAAGTTCTTTTTTCTCCTGAGAGACAGCACACGTTGGGGAGGGGCAGAGAGAGCGGGAGACAGAATCCCAAGCAGGCTCTGAGCTGTCGGCACAGAGCCTGACCTGGGGCTCAAACTCAGGAAGCCACGAGATCAGAACGTGAGCTGAAACCAAGAGTTGGACGCTCAACCCGACTGAGCCACCCAGGCACCCCTACTTTTTTTTTTTTTTTTACTTAAAAAAAATTTTTTTTCAACGTTTTTATTTATTTTTGGGACAGAGAGACAGAGCATGAACGGGGGAGGGGCAGAGAGAGAGGGAGACACAGAATCAGAAACAGGCTCCAGGCTCTGAGCCATCAGCCCAGAGCCCGACGCGGGGCTCGAACTCACGGACCGCGAGATCGTGACCTGGCTGAAGTCGGACGCTCAACCGACTGCGCCACCCAGGCGCCCCTTTTTTTTTTTTTTTTACTTTTTAAAAAACGTTTTATTTATTTAGAGAGTGAGTGCAAGTGGGGGAGGGGCAGGGAGAGACTCCCAAGCTGGCACTGAGCTGTCAACAGAGCTCAGTCTCACAAACCATGAGATCATGACCTCAGCCAAAATCAAGAGTCAGCACTTAAAGTACTGAGCCACCCACGTGTTCCACCTGTTTTTTGATTTTTGATTTTTTTACTTTTTTTTTGACATGAAATGTTTTTGAATTGTAGGTTGCAGATGCTATGATTTCTGGTGTATTGGAAATATAAAACTAAATAAAATTTCAAATCACTTTTTCAAATGTGTCCAATGGAATTGAAGTAGTTATCTGATACCCACCACACCATGTTTTAAAATAACATGAATAAGGCCTTCAGAAGCATTTGGAGGGGCGCCTGGGTGGCTCAGTCGGTTGAGCGTCCGACTTCGGCTCAGGTCGTGATCTCTGGTCCATGGGTTCGAGTCCTGCGTTGGGCTCTGTGCTGACAGCTCAGAGCCTGGAGCCCGCTTCAGATTCTGTGTCTCCCTCTCTCTCTGCCCCTCTCCCTCTCGTGCTCTGTCTCTCTCTCTCTCTCAAGAATAAATAAATGTTAAAAAAAAAGAAGTATTTGGAGATTCTGCATTCCGAGCTACATGCTGACGAGCACACAGCAATCGCTCGTCAAAGATTATTTTTAGTGATCTAATTTGCTGACAGCTTGATTAGGCTCTCTTTCAATTTGGTTAAAAATAATAAAAAGGAATTGGAAACTGAATGACTTGCAAGAGCATTTGTAACTGTGTCATTGGTGTCCCTTTTGAGGTGTCCCCGGGGGGGTTTAACCTCAGAGCCCTGCGCTGTGAGGGGAACCGCAGAGGCTCGGGCAGCGAGAAGTGGGAAGGGGGGTGCTTGAGAAACGGAGGTGAGGCAGGGAACAGGCGAGCGCCCAAGCCTGTTCTCAGGAAAGAGTGTGTATGGAAGCTGAGGACCTGGAAGATATTTTCTTTAAAGTAGCCATGGCAGGGGGCGGGGCGCCTGGGTGGCTCAGTCAGTTGAGCATCCTGCTGCGGCTCACGTCATGATCTTGTGGTTTGTGAGTTCCAGCCCCCCGTCGGGCTCTGTGCTGACAGCTCGGAGCCCGGAGCCTCCTTCGGATCCTGTGCCTCCCTCTCTCCCTGCCCCTCCCCTGCTCATTCTCTCTCTCTCTCTCTCTCTCAAAAATAAATAAATATTTTAGAAAATTAAAAAAATAAATAAATAAAGTAGCCACGGCAGGGCGCCTGGGTGGCTCAGTCGGTTGAGCATCTGACTCTAGGTTTCAGCTCAGGTCACCATCTCAAGGTCCGTGGGTTCGAGCCCCACGTTTGGCTCTCCACTGGCAGCTCAGAGTCCGCTTGGGATATTCTCTCTCTCTCTCTCTCTGTCTCTCTGCCCCTCCCCTGCTTGCATTGTCTCTGTCTCTCTCCAAATAAAGAAATAAAACTTAAAAAAAAATTTTTTTTAAGTAAAAGTAGCCGTGTCCGCTCCTCCCTTGGAGTGCCTGCCTCTGCGTAACCCCTGTTTGCAGCCCGCTGCCCGAGGACATGCCTGAAGGAGTGGCTTTTGGGTCAGACAGCACTGAACAGTGCCCTCACCTCTTTGGGCCTCAGTTACCTTGTCTGCAAAATGGGGATGATATCGGCACCCACCTCGTAGGCTGCCGCGAACATTAGGTAAGACGTCAGTATAAAGAGGTTAGTGTGCTGTCCCACTCTTGGTGGGGACGAGGCATGAGAGTTTAGGGTTTAGGACCTGGCTCTCCCCTCTCCTCCCTGGGATACTGAGCAGGTTTCTTAACCCTCCGAGTCTCAGGCTCCCCGTCTATAAAATGGGCACGATCATTCAAACCTCATCAGCTCTGTTCAACAATAAACAATGTAACAATGACTTTGCCCGGCACACCAGTGAGCACTTGGTGAAGGTTCCTCTTGCGAATAGCCTACAGATCTCATTCCCACCTCCTGTCTTCTGTTTTTCATATCCTCCAAACCCTTGATATTTTCTTTTTTCTTAACTTTTTAAAATGTATTTATTTTGAGAGAGAGAGAGAGAGAGAGAGAGAGAGCGAGCCAGTGGGGGGGGGGCGGGTGGGGAGAGAGAGAGGAGGACACAGGATCCCAAGCAGGCTCTGTGCTGACAGCAGAGATCGTGACGTGGGGCTCAAACTCACAAACCGGGAGATCATGACCTGAGCTGAAGTCAGATGCTTAACCGACTGAGCCACCCAGGTGCCCCTACCTTTGATATTTTCTCAGCAACAGGGTGACACATTTCTCTGATGCGGTGAGAAGTTGGTACGATGCTAGCTAGCTCTACAGCTATACTGCCTGATTCCAGCCTGTCCCGTCTACACCTGGGTGACCCTGGCCAAGGGACCTGCCCTCTCTGAGTCTCGGTTTTCTCCTCTGTACAATGGGGCTCATGGTATCATCCACCCCACAGGATTGTTGTCAGGCTTAAAGGGTCGCATGAGCGCGTAGAATACCGTTCGCACCTTAACAGGCTCTCAGCCGATGTTGGCTCATTAGTATTACTGGGATGTGATGTCACAGGTTCAATCTGTTGTTCCCTTTCTCTGTGATGCTCCGTGTCAGTGTTTAACAGAAGCTGTCTTTCCATCCACAGGTAGTCTTTGTGGGCATGATGTCCAGTTCCACCCTCTGGGGAAACATCTCAGACCAGTACGGCCGGAAAACAGTAAGGCGACCTCTGCTAAGCGCATGTCCTCCGGGTTAATCTCCATGGTGACGCTGACAGGTGGCAAGCCAGCGCTCTGCTTAGCGTTTGGGAGGCCCGATTAGCTCTGTTGAAATGCAATGAGAAGACCTGGCTCTGAGGCCATTGAAATCCCACATTCCTAGTGGGGCCCGAGCGTGCACGTTTCAGAACGCAGAAGATGCTTTGGGTGCCCTCTCCGGTCCCCTTGGCACCCCCCCGATTCCCTTACACCAGGCTGGGGGCAGGCAAGGGCTGGTAGATGAAGACCTCAACTTTCTTGCCCTCAAGTGACTCATCTGTCAATCCCAGCAGGATTGAGCTCTGGGGCCCACCGTGGGAACCTGCTCATGAAGGTACCCTGAATTGTCTGCCTGCCCCACCCCTCCCGGGATCACCACCCAAATAAACTAGAATTCTTGTGTCAGGGTCTGCTGCTGGGGAGGCCCAGCCTAAGGCATGACATGAAATGGATTTGCAAGCAAGAAGCAAGAAGGGAACTTACAGGTCTGGCATTGCCATGAGCTCTTAACTGTCTTATTTGTCACTTCGTGGTCCCCTTTGTATTTTACGCTGCTCGTGTTTTGCGGGGCTTCGCTTGGGTTCTTTGATACCTTCAGTGTGTGCATGCGAACTTAGGCCTGATGGGAGAAAAGATCTGTGTGGATCCAGGCAGGCTTTACTTGGTTAAGTGCCTTGCTCGGGAAAAGCCGCCCCTGCTGTTGCGCAATCCTGGGTGATCGCACCCCCTGACTGCTTTATCGTCCTCTTCAACCTGCAGGTTCCTCAGAGGCAGGGTGGTATAGTGGTTACGTGCTTGGGCTCTGGAATCAGGTGGACCTGGGTTTAGTCCCTGGGTTTAGTCCCCTGCCACTCCTGGCTGTGTGACCTCAGGCAAGCGATTGACCTCTCTGAGCATCGATCTCCTCAAACATGTAAAGAAAAAATAGCAGCGTCTACATCGGAGGGTTAATTGAGATCCTGAGTATGAGTGGCTTTGTAGAACGCCAGGCACATCAGCGACACAGGACACATGTCAGCTGGCATCGCAGTGATAGCATTTCTGACAAATTCCCAGGTGATGCTGTTGCCACGGCTTATCTGAGGCCCGTACTCTTAGAACTATTGGCTTAGACTAGTTTAGACTCTCTAAACCAGCTTAGAATTCTGTTAGGAAGGAAGAAGGGAGATATGGATGCTGAGTAGGTAATAGGCAGGGCCCACTGTAACCCGCATGCCATGAGCTGTAAAGAAAACAGTGGCTTGTATGGCAGGCCCTATACCAACCATGATACGTGCTTGGTGCTATTATTGTTCTGATTTTACAGAAGGGGAAACCGAGGCACGGAGCATGGGCAGTTTGCCCAAGGCCACTTAGTTTGTGTGTCACAGGGCCGGGTCTTACTCTTTCTGAGTCTAGACTCTTCCCTCAACTGTGATGCCAGCGGCTTGAATGTGTAGGTGCTCAATCAGTAAATGTTGCCTCGATGAGTGAATGAATGAATGAATGAATGAATGAGTGGCTGAACAGTGCAGTCCGGCTGCAGCCCCTCCCGCTGTGGCCGGGCCGGAAACATGTGGGCCAGCAGGCACCTGGGAGACGTTGACTAATAAAACCACCAAGAAGTGGCTGGGGCAGGACCAGAGGCAGCCAGGCTGGTACGCCAACAGTGGCCATTGTAGCTCGGGGACTCTTGGTTGGCTTTAGAGACCGGGGAGGTCAGTGGGGATGACCTCTCCAGCCTCCGAGAGAGGACACAAGCTGGATTACTCTGGTCTCCAGGAAGTGGCTCCCTAAACTCTGCCCCATACACACCCTCCCACCCGCTTCCTTTTTCTGGAGGGTGTAAGTCATTGCTTTAAGGATTTTCTGGCTGGAAGATAGAACAGACCAGAGCTGGGGTGGGGGTGGGGGCGGAGGGAGGGAAAGAGGGAGGGAAGGAGGAAGGAAGGGAGGGAGGACGGACGGAAGGAGCACCCCTTAAAATAAAACAGAGCCATTTCTTGGGCAGAATTGCAGCAGTTAAAGGAGTTGTAAATGTGTGGCTGAGGCTGCACCTAACATTGGCCCTCGCACTTTTCAAATAATCGAAGGAAAAAGCTCTTCTAAAGTCTTCACGTGGCTTCTTCCTGCGCAGACTGGGCACAGGGTGGACGACCTGTCCCACTGTCTCTGGCCAAAGAACAGTTTTTATTTACTTGCCCCCGAGGCCAACAGGCATATGCACAAAAAATGCAGGAACCCATAACAAGGAACTTTCCTCTGCCCCAAATTCTATTACTCAGTTGCTGAATCACGAAGCCATGAGGAGTACAAGGGGAAAGAAGTGAAAATACCTGAATCTGGGGCCTGGGTCTGCCCCCGGGGTGACTCAAGTTATCCCGCCCTTCTTGGGGCCTCAGTTTCTTTATGTCAGAGGAGATTGGATTCAATAATAACTGATAGTGATAGCTACCATTTACCGAATTCCCCAAACTGAAGGGCAAATGGGTTTGTCGTCCCTTGTGTCTGTTCTAATCGCTCAGTAGGGGATGCCAGACGCATGGATTTGAGGAGTCAGAAGGCTCAGTGGGACGGTGCTGTGATCGATTAGTGATGTCTGCCAGGGGCACAGGACAGGAGGATGGATCAGTGAGTGCAGTATACCCCTTGAGGGAGGTGGCTGTGCCTGCTTTGCTCACTGGGGTGGGCTGGCATTTGGCAGGGCCTTATAGCAACCACTCCTCGTCGATACTTCGCGAGTGGCTGAACAGGATGGATGAAAGTCAAATCTCCTTGTTGCCACTTTCTGCTTCTCTCTCATCCTCTCCAGACCAGCAAGTGACTTTACTGATGAGTGTTCTTTCTTTATGGAAAGTCCACAAAGGTCATTAGCTTGTGATCCCCGGGAAGAGGGTGTTCACTCTGTCATTAATGTCAGTCGTGCCTACGGTGTTCCCAGGAGGTAGCCCTATAGGACATAGATGTCTTCATTTTTCTGATTGGTCTCAGAGGAGAAAACTATGGCTTATATTTTAAAGAGATTTGTAGGGACACCTGGGTGGCTCAGTTGGTTAAGCATTGGACTTCGGCTCAGGTCACGACCTCACAGTTTGTGAGTTCGAGCCCCACATCGGGCTCTGTGCTGACAGCTCGGAGCCTGGAGCCTGCTTCGGATTCTGTGTCTCCCTCTCTCTCTGCCCCTCCCCTGCTCATGCTTGCTCTGACGCTCTCTCTCTCCCTCTCAAAAATAAACATTAAAGAAAAGAAAATTAAAATTTTTTTTTTTAATTTTAAAAGATTCATAGGTGGGTTTTCAGTAATGCCATTTACTGAATCTTGTGAGTCCTGAACACATTTTGGCAACTTCTAGAACAGTAGCTCTCAACGGGGGAGGGGGCGGGCAGGTTTTGTCTCCCCCTTCCTCCCAGGGGACCCTCAGCAAGGTCTGGAGACGTTTGTGGCTATCACAAGTCAGGGGAGGGGTGCTCCTGGCATCTAGTGAGTAGAGGTCAGAGATCCTGCTCGATACCCCAAAGTGCACAGGACAGTCCACACCACGACGAATTGCCAAGTCCAGAATGGGAAGGGTGCCAGGGCTGAGAAACCAGGCGCCCAGAGAGAATGCACGTGTCGTGAAGAATTCATTCTTCACCGACTTACTGCATAGCCTGGGACTGCTCCGCCCTAATTTCCTGTTTACCTCCAGTGCTCACTGGGACACGTGAAATGCTAAGGTGACATCCCTGTGAGAGCACGGGCTCTGAGATCTGACTGCTAAGATTCCAATCCCGGCCGGCTCCTCCGCAGACAGGCTGCTGCGTGACCCCGAGCAAGTGACTCAGCCTCCCCGTGCCTCAGTGTCCTCCTCTCTTCATGGGATAAAAATAGCCTCTCTTCCCCAGGGGGGTTCTAGGAGTAAATGGGCCCTTGCACCGAGAGCTCTTGGCACAGAGGAAGCAACTTGTAAACGTCCGGCAGTGTTCCCATCATTTGCCAAGTTCAGGGTGCCGATAAATGGCAGTGCCGGTGTTAAAAATGCAGGTGTGTCTGGCTCCAGAGTCCACATCCTTGGCTGCTGGGAGACATAACTGAGTCATCCCCTGGGGTTCAGTTGACCAGGTGGACACTCATCCGTTCCAAAGAGATGAAGCCTGGGTAGAGTGGTCCACGCAAAGCTGGTGCCACCGGAGAGGAGGGAAAGCGCCCCCAGACTGCAGGGCCCCCTCCTCCCTGCATGGAATCCTGGCCCAACCGCAGGGAGGACGGATCAGGTTCTAATTATAAAGCCTCTGTAGAACTCCTCCAGAAACCGAGGGTGAGCCGGGCAGCTGGCGAGCTTTAGCAAGCGCCAAGAATCTCCTCCTAGCTCCTTGATCTGCCTCCGCCCAGCTGGGAGGCTTCGGGGAGGGCGTCTGCTCCATGACTTTGCAGGGAAATCACATAAGGGGTTCGGACTCAGTGGGCCACTTTGATTCCTACAGAAGTTTCTACACCCTGCGGGCCTGTGGTAGCCGCAGAAAGGAAGGGCAGCTGCAGGCGTGTGGCCTCGCGGGGATGAAGATACACACCCAGGTTCCTGGTCCCGTGCTTCACCCCCTCTGTCGAGCGAGGGAGGCGTAGGCAGGCTTTTTCACTTCTCGGAGCCTCAGTTTCCCCATTTTCCCCTTCCGTAAAATAGGGTTGACAAGAGGAGGAGTTCAGAGGATTGCGGGGAGGCTTATGTAAGAAATGTATGTAATGCGCTTAGAATGGTGTCTACTAACACATGGTTAGCCCGTGATCCCTGGTAACTATTATCGGCTGTGACTCAAAGAAAACACGGTTTAGAATATGATCAGGTCACTCTCTGGTTCAAAGTCTACAGATCCAGCCTGGGTGGCTCAGTCGCTTGAGCATCCGACTCTTGATTTCGGCTCAGGTCATGATTCCGGGGACGTGGGATCGAGCCCCGTGTCGGGCAGGCTCCACACTCAGAGTGGAGCCCACTTAGGACTCTCTCTCTCTCTCTCTCTCTCTCTCTCTCTCTCTCTCTCTCTCCCCCCTCCCCCGCTGGCGCTCACTCTCTCTCTCTCTCAACTAAAATGAAAAAAAAAAAAAAAATTCAAAGGCTGTAGGTCCATGCCCTCTATGTCATTTATAGGTAAAGGGGGGAAGGAGGGTGACAGGCAGGCAACAGGCCTCTCATCCCCATATTTTGAGGACCCCCAGGCCCCTTTGCCCCGTGATTGTTTTCCCCGTCCCTGTACATGACTGGAGAACACCACCGGGGGCCGAGTAGACGGTCTTCCGAGGCTGAGCAGTGCTCATGACAATGACATCAGCATGCTCCTTTTGGCGGTTGTAGACCCAGAACCCGAGTGGCACCCTAAGCCTTGGAGCAACAGCTTGAAGCCTTTGCAGGCTGCAGGTTGTAAACCCGTGGGCCATGAACCGAGTATGGCCTACCCAGGTGTTTCATTTAACCCGTACAATAGGGGACAGGATGTGGAATCGGTTGCCTCTGTTTCAAAAATGTATTTTGCATAAAAATAAGGAGTTGTTTTTGTTTGTTTGCTTTTTGGTTTTGGTGGTTTTTTTTTTTTTTTTTTTTTTTTTTTTTTTTTTGATAATTGGGTGATCTGGCAGCCCAGGGTCCACGTTTCGTGATGGCAACTTTGGGCTAGAGCTGAGTAGAGGCTGACAAGACAGGTCAAGGTCTCTTGCGTTCACTCGGACCCACCTGTCCTTGCTGCATGATACCGTCACATATGTTCTTGGTCAGAGGCGATGGGAACCGCCAAAGGCCCAGGAGGAGGGGAGGGGCTCATTGAAAGTACATCCTGGCATTCGGGGTTGGAAACCCTGACTCCCGTTTTGACTCTGCTGACCTTGGACAAATCGCTAGACTACTTTGACCCTCCCTGCGCTGGTTTGTAAAGTGGGAGTGGAAACAGCAGCCTCTTTCCACCAGCCGCCCGCCCGCGAGGACCCGAGGACCCGGTGTTAAGGACGTGACAATGAATTGCAAAATGCAAATCCAAGTTCTGTGAAGTCAGAGACTCTGACTGCCACATCCCCTGTAGCCTGGGACAAAGCCCATGTTTAGCAAACAGCAAGCACTCAATATATGCATGGCAAAGGGATGAATGAATGAATAACAGTATCTTGACTGCCAGGCACTCAAGTGCTCCATATATGCATATTGAAGAAATGAATGAATGATGCATAACAGTACCTTTAGTTCTGGGCACACAGCAGGTGCCCATTACATGTATATTGAATGAATGAATGAATGAATGAATGGTATATAGCATTATCTCTAGTGTCTGGCATACAGCAGGCGCTTGATATACGCTTATTGTTGAATGAATAATTGAATGAGCCAGCTAACGGATGCGTAATGTCTATACTTCTATCTGTAGAGCTTGGCATACAAGGGATGCTCAGTAAGTGAGTATGGAAGGAAGAAAAGGAGAGAGAAGAGGGAGACGAAGGAGCCAACGATCCGAAAGGCGGGACAGATGTTAGGCAGAATGACAAGTGAGGTTAACGAAAAGCTCAAAGGCCCGGAGACGTTTCTGCAGAGTCCCGAGCAGTGCTCATGCCTTTGCAGTAGCCCTGACGGTATTCGCGAAGGGTTGCTGAGCCCTCGTTTCCTGGCCAGCTGGAAAGCCCTGGCGTCAGCGGGCCAGTGCAGAGCCAGCTGCAAGTGTGCTGTGACCCCACAGGACAGGTCAGCATGCAGGTCTTTGCGGCCTAGCATGGGGTCCCACGGTGACCCCAGCGGGATAACGCAGCTCCCAGGTCGTCCCTAGAGGAAGGCTCAGCTTGCAGGTGCCAGCCTGGGTGCCCTTTTCTCTTACCCTCCCCTCTTCTCCTGCTGTTTTCCTTCTTTTCTTTCATTTTCTCTGCTGCTAATGATACCCTGTTCCTGATTCAAGACGCCTTGGGTTCCAAGGAAGCAAACCCCTCTTAAATTAGCTTAAGCCACAAGAAAGGAAGTAAGCATATGTGTGGCAGGTACCGATTTCATAGTCATGGGTTTTAGGGGAGCAGAAATGGGGCTTTATTATTGTTGCAATAGATCCAGAGCTCCCTAGGCTTTCCTAATTCCTATCCCACCTGTTTTGGTATGCACTTAATAGCGTTCTTTATTAGCAACTTTGTTTAAAAAAAAAAAAACACACCTCAAATGCATGTTTTTGGAAAAGGAAACTTTATGGAGAGTCTTAAATAGGAAGTTTAAGTAGGCGTAAATAGGAAATATCTGCAAACATGATTACAGTGAAGGGGCGCCTGGGTGGCTCAGTCCGTGAAGCCTCGGACTTCGGCTCAGGTCATGATCTCACAGTTCGGGAGTTCGAGCCCCGTGTTGGGCTCTGTGCTGACAGCTTGAAGCCTGCTTCAGATTCTGTCTCCCTCTCTCTCTCTGCCCCTCCCCTGCTCGCGCTGTGTCTCTCTTTGTGTCTCAAAAATAAATAAACATTAAAAAAATTAAAAATAAATGAATAAATAAGTAAGTAAATAATACAATACAATGAAAAAAAAAATCCAATGTTACGAAATTCTAATCAGTTCTGGTAGCCCCCCGCCCCAGTCTGTTAAAAAGAGATTGGCAGGTGTTTAAAAAGGTGTTAAAGACAGACTAGCATAGACTTTCTCTTGGACATAATCAGAAGAATAACGATGGAAACAAAAAGAAATCGCTTTCTTGCAAGGTAATGCAGGTTATTTAAAATACTCACCCACCACTGAAAATCATTTTCCGAGAGACTGGAAATCACCTGGCAGACCTCCAGATTTCTCCTTTTCATCAGTTTTAATTTTTTTTTTTTAAGTTTATTTATTTAAGTAATCTCTACACCCAGCGCAGGGCTCGAACTCACAACCCCAAGATCAAGAGTCTCATGCCCTTCTGACTGAGCCAGCCAGGCACCCCTGTCCATTTTAATTTTAAAGCTACAACCACTGTGCTTCACGCTTTCCCCCAGGGGGGACAGGAGAGTGAACTCAAACCTGGGTCTGGGAGAAGTGCTACAGAAAGAGACCTGCCGGGACCCCATGTTGCGGGTCTGAAATCCACGTAAAATTCGCATTCGACTCCACAACGCCCTCGGCGTTGGTGTGATATAAAAATCCTATTTTAGGGGCACCTGGGTGGCTCAGTCGGTTAAGCGCCTTTGGCTCAGGTCACGATCTCACGTCCTTGAGTTCGAGCCCCACGTGGGGCTCGGCACTGACAGTGTGGAACCTGCTTGGGATTCTCTCTCCCCCTCTCTGTGCCCCTCCCTCACTTTCTCTCTTCCTCTCTCTCTCTCTCTCTCTCTCTCTCTTTCTCTCAAAAATAAATAAATAAATATTTTTAAAAAATTAAAATCCCATTTTAAGTTGAATTCATCCTTAATTTTTTCCTCAGTCTCTAAGAGTAACATTCCCAGCAGAGGCACTGTTTGTCTTACAGCATTATGTGCCTAGGTGGTTCTCAACCCCATCAAATACAATGTCCCCTTTACTCAGAAAGTGTTATAGGGGCACCTGGGTGGCTCAGTGGGTTCTGAGGCTGTTCATGAGTTCTAGCCTCACACTGGGATTGCTGCTGTCGGTGCAGATCCTGCTTCAGAACCTCTGTCCCCCTCGCTCTCTGCCCCTCCCCCCCTCTCAAAAATAAACATTTAAGAAACTTGTAATAAAAAAAGAAAATGTTATACAAACTTTTAATAATGCCCCTTAATTATCCAGAAATAATTTCAGAACTAAAATAGCCACTCACGTAATCTTGAAAAAGAAATCGTGTATAAAAATATTAAAAGATGAAAGAAATCAGGGATAATTCCCCAGCTGCGACAGGAGAGAGAATTTGTTTCAAGGCAGCAAGTAATTAATTCGGATTTATTGTCACAATGGAAAGGTGCACGTACGACTGCCTAGGTAATAAAAGGAAGTGGTTAACATATGTCCCTGGTTATAAATAAGCTTGTGTGTAATTGAATTTTGTTGCTGCTTTTCTCTTTATATTTGACATTTTGAAATAGGTTTAGATGGGTCTATTCATAGATACACATAGAAACCCAGTGAATGCAGACAGATACTGGAGTGTTCTCTCAGTGACTCAAATACCATATGGAGCGTTGCCACGGACAACTCGGCTTTCTGAAATGATGAACAATTGTGTAAAGTTCCAGATACAGCCACGTACCGACTTCCTTTGATTTACCTAGAAGCCTCATTCCTGCAAAATTAAGTGTGTGTGCAAACTCTGTCCCTCCCGCCCCCCATCTTATTTATGTATAAAATACAGTGACGGTCAAGGTGCGGATAATGGTAGTTTTCACCTGCGTGACGGTCAGGTCGAAAGTTCAGCTTGGGACGGTGCAGGATACAGGACCGGAGGCACGGAGTCTCAGGCACGCGGGGGACATCTAACGTCTCAGGGCCGTGTACTTCAAATGCCGATCATTGAGACAACCAAGAATGCCCCACAGTTTCCCCACACATGCCCCCGCCCCCCAGGGGTTGGCCCCATCGCACAGAGAACCCCTTGGATCTCCCCAGTTGTGTGGGTTACCCTTTAGCATGACGTCATTGATGGCTTTTAACATGCTCGGGGCCGCGTGACCTGGAGGTACGGAGCAGCCCTGTGACTTGGTGTCTTTCTTCCCCACAGGGGCTGAAGATCAGCGTGCTCTGGACCCTCTACTACGGCGTCCTCAGTGCTTTCGCCCCCGTGTACAGCTGGATCCTGGTGCTCCGGGGCCTGGTGGGCTTCGGGATCGGAGGGGTCCCCCAGTCGTAAGTAAATACCCAGCTCTGGCCAGCCAGCCAGGCAGCCAGTCAACTACGTTCATGGCCTCAGAGGGGTGCAGAGATGGCCCAATAGGGCTTCTGGTGTCAAGGAGGCGTGACGTAGCCAGAGAATTACCATTATTAGTATGGTGATGATTGACAACATAAAAGCAACACACGAGGGGCGCCTGGCTGGCTCAGTTGCTGGGCCGCGAGACTCTTGATCTCGGGGATGTAAGTTTGAGCCGCGTACTGGGTGTAGCGAGTACTTCAACATAAGATTAAAAAAAAAAACGAAGAAGAACACGGCAGCGGGAAAGTCGTAAATGTGAAATAATAGTAAAAACAAGAGATCTAGCATTGCTTGGGCATTTCTCTTGGACGCATCACAACAGCCCCGGGAGAGGTGTGCTATCAAGTGATTGCAGGCTCCGTTTTTATAGTTGAAACCAAGACTCAGGGGGTGAAATCATTTGCCCAAGTCATGTGGCGCGTGGTGGAGCTAAAAACCCAAGTCTGTCTGCCTACACTGCCCGCGCTCTTAACCATCACGCGTGAGGCCCCCTTCCGCGCTTCCAACCGAAGCACGAGGTGGGGAGCTGGGCCTAACCGTGTGTGAATTGAGTGTTGTTTGGTTGGTGCTGTGGTTAAGGTACTGAGAGTAGTCACAGTTGTAGGGAAAAGTCCCTCTCCCCTGGGAGATTGGCAGACGATGGCCTGTGGGCTACATCTGACCTGCTGACTGCTTTTATAAATAAAGTTTTATTGGTACACAGCCACACCCATCATTTGCATATCACCTGTGCCCATTTTCCCATACAGCAACAAAGTTGAGTTATCTCCGCAGAGACAATATTTACTATCTGACCCTTTATAGACAACGTACGTTGACCCCAACCTAAACGATGATAATGGCCAAAATTTACTGTTTACTAAGTGGCAGGTGCTATTCTAAACGGTTTACCATATTATCTCATTTAATTCCGTCAGATCTCTTGGGTAAATTCTGTTATTTTTTGGTTTTTTATTTATTTTGAGAGAGAGAGCTCCAGCGTGCATGCACACACACTAGTAGGGAAGGGGCAGAGAGAGAGGGAGAGAGAGAATCTTTGGGTTTTTAAATTTTATAAATGTTTTATCTATTTTTGAGAGAGAGAGACAGAGCACGAGTGGGGGAGGGACAAAGAGAGAGAAAGGGAGACACAGAATCGGAAGCAGGCTCCAGGCTCCAAGCTGTCAGCACAGAGCCCGATGCGGGGTTCGAACTCACGGACCGTGAGATCATGACCTGAGCCGAAGTCAGACCCAACCAACTGAGCCACCCAGGCGCCCCGGGAGAGAATCTTAAGCAGCGCAGAGCCTGACGCGGGGCTCAGTCCCACAAACCATGAGATCATGACCTGAGCCGACATCAAGCGTGAGTGGCTCAACCGACTGAGCTGCCCAGGCACCCTGGTGAATTGTATTATTCATCCCATTTTACAGATTTTTACAGATTTTACTGAACCAAAGAGAGGTAGAGTGATTTACCCCAGGTGCCACAGGCAGGAAGAGGCAGAGCCAGAGTCTGAACTCAGTTCCTCTAACTCCAGAGCCTGGGCTCTAACCATTGCATTGTACTGCCTTTCGATTAAGGATGCAACCATAAAAGACTCTTAAATACAGAGAACAAACTGAGGGTTGCTGGAGGGATGGTGGGGAGGGGGATGCATTAAACAGGTGATGGGCATTAAGGAGGGCACTTTTTGGGTTGAGCACTGGGTGTCGTATGTAAGTGATGAATCATTGGGTTCTACTTGTGAAACCAAGGCTACACTGTATGTTAACTAACTTGAATTTAAATTTAAAAAAAAATTATTTTTTTGAAAGACCCAGAGGCAGATTGGGGAAGATACAGGATATTTCATAGGAAGGGATCTGAAGGAAAAGAAGAAGCCGTACCTGAGTCTGAGGAAGGCTAATTCCTTGGAAGGCCCATTCTGGTTAGCAAGTTGGGGTGAGATATGTAAGAATTGAACGCTGCGGTTGGACAGGTAGACCAGGGCAAGTTTGCTAAAAGTCTTGAATGCCAGGCCAAAGGGCTTGTCTACAGGCAGTGGGGAGCCACTGAGAGTTCTTGAGCGGGGGGGGGGGGGCACTTTGGAAATGTTAATCTGGCAATGGTGGGTAGGATGGGTTGGAGGTAAAGAATGATAATTCCTGTTGCAATAACTTAGGGAAATTTCACACAGGACCAGTTCATTCCATTCATTCAACCAATATTTCTTGAGCACCTACTATGGCACCGGCCTGTACTAGATGCTGGGGATACAGCAGTGAGCGAGACAGACATGGTCCCTGTTACAAGTGGGGATCCCGGGGAACAGAATGTGAGATGGAGAGTAGTGTGCACGTGGTTACTGAGACCGGCACCTGCAGGGGAGTGAGAAAACCGTGAGTGAGCAGAGGGAGGAGTTGAGTACAGCTGATCCTGCAGGAGTTCCAGAGCCAGGGTGGCTCCTTAGAGTTGTCCCAGATTGAGGTTTGGGGGCCGGACCTCTGCCCCCTCACATCAGCTGCGTTGGATGTGGGCTGCTCTCACGGAGGGAGCACGATCTTGGGCAAGGCAGCTACTTTGGGCTAGGGCAATTCCTGCAAGGGACTCAATTCTGAGCTCTTAGCAGGTAACATTTCTGGTCATTCCAGGGGATTGTGTGTGGCAGTCCCAAAGGGGGAGCCTAGGTGGTCACATCACAGCACCCACGACAGTCCACCCCTTGCACCTGTTAGATCCACTTGCTGCATATAATTTCACCCCATCTGGGAACAGTTTCTCCAGGATTCTGGTTGGTCTTTGCCCTGAAAAGACCATGTCCCATGGCTGGTGGGACAACCTACAGTCATCTGCTATCGCTGCCGGCCTCACAGCTCCAACTGAGGCCGAGTGTCTCCCTCTCCCGCTACTCGTTGCAGGTTCCCCTCGCCTTGGGCCAGCACTTCTGCTGATCGAGATGGTTTCCCTGGCAGAGTGGTCCAGACCCTATGCCTGAGTCACCATGCCCGACACAGGCCGTAGCTGCTGCCTGTCCATTTATTATCAAAATCGGGCAGGGGGTTACCAAGAGATGGCCCCTGTATCGCCTGGGTGCCCCATCAGATAACAGTAGCCATACCACCTCCCGATGCCCCATTGCTCAGGCAGAATGCTGACTCTCTTTCTTGACACAAGGAATCCAAAGTTACTAGGTGGCAGGCATTGCTTGAAGTCTGACGGGGTTCTTGTGGTGTCCCCCAGCGGGTGAAGCATGCCCTCTCTGGGAACCAGGACCTCTAAACCCACAGGTAGGGGAAGTACAAATTCCTCCTCCAACCCTTTGAGTTCAGAACGATGTATCCTTTCTGCATAGCACCATGCGATGGGCATTGATTTAAGGTTGTGTTGTGTCTTGGAAGACAGTAACCTATCCTCACCGGGCATCATCTCCAAGCCGATGCCTCCGTGGCACCTTCAAGAGGCTCTTCCATCCCTCTCAGGCCAGCACCTTCAAGGTGGCACAAGATATGACAGGACCCGTGGATTCCACGGTCACGTACCTGCTGCTACATCTTCTTTGATATGTATCAGCTTCCTAGGTCTCAAGCACTATTACGTGGGATTCTGTGTCAATGAGTCAAATACCCCGAGAGCCCTCAGATAATGGTGCTGGCAGGAGAGGCAAGCCAATACCCAGAATATGTGCCAGTTCCAGTCAGGACGAGTCACTGCTCCTTCCAAAATGGGAGATGTCCAATATAAGTAACTTTTATATTGTGACATGGGATGTGACATGGGATGGTTCCACCCTGGGGGCTCTGCGTTGGTCTCTGCTGCTGGCCGACTGGCTCTTCAGCCGCCAAACTAGCAAGATTGGCTTTGGTGCGTGAGGGTGTGGCCATTGCCTCTGGTGGGTTAACAGTTCACTGGTTGACTCCTTGGGCCCGTTGAGTATCACGATGGGGGACGGCTGGGAGAGGGGCTCTAGAAGGGTCGTGCTAACACTGAGGTAGAACGGCTTAGGTCCTGGTCACCAGATTCGCATCCTGACTCTGCCGTGATAGCCGTGTGCCCCTAGGCGAGTCACTAGACCTTTCTACGCCTCAACTTCTTCGTCTCTCAGATGAGGACGATAACATACCTACCTCATGGGGGTCACTTAGAATATTAAATGACAACACACGTGAAGTGCCCGGGACAGTGCCCAGCAGAGCACTTAGTGAATGTCAGCATGTGTCTGGTCTGCCAAAGACTTTGGTGAGAAGCTCAGGTGTCCGCGTGATGGATGTTGGACTCATGTGACCACATGGGATTTAGCCTGGGAGCTAGTCCCCAGACTCTTTCTGCCACTTAGTGGCTGGAAGGGCAGTGAGTGGCTCTCAGTTCTCAGCCCTTCCCTCCCTATTCATTATGGATCCCTCCAGGGCTCTGCAGAGTAGGCATTTGACATACGCTCCTGGACCTCGGATGGGTTTAAAAGCCACTAGAGCTTGAGGGAGAAACCATTAAGCCAAGCCCATAAATCTGGGCTGGCAGGGGCTTGTGGCCGATGTCCTCCACGTCTGGACCAACCCCAGGACTTTCTGCGGACGCAGCCACTGCCCCATTCATGAGCCATTCGTTGACTAAGGAACAGTTTTCCCCCAGTGGCTGGAAGGAACGCACTCACACAGGTACACATTAAATTCCTTTCTCAGGGTTGCTCAGGTGGATGATGGCAGAACCAGTCTCCAAATGGCTACCCGGACTTTCTTCCCATCAGAGGGGAGGGAAGGGAGCTAAGTATCGAGAACGTGGTTCTTGTTTGGAATGGTGGGATGAGAGGCGCCATTTTTCTCCTTCTCCTTCTCCACACTTTCTGGAAGTGTCATAAAAGGCGTGAGAAAGGGGCACCTGGGTGGCGCAGTCGGTTAAGCGTCTGACTTCGGCCAGGTCACGATCTCGCGGTCCGTGAGTTCGAGCCCCGCGTCGGGCTCTGGGCTGATGGCTCGGA